TTGCAGATTCTGGTTGTATTTATACTCTCTGACAAATACTTGTGCCTTTTGCAACAAAAGGCACAGGTATTTCTAAGTTTCAGGTGTCCCTTTAAATTGAGTTCTATAGCTTGTCTAACCTTTTCCACTGAGTCACTACTGAAATTGGGAACTGGGTCAGGAGCCTTGATTCACAAGCCTGTGCTTGGACCACACACCACATGCTCTTAGTGCAGGACAGCAGTTTCTTCCAAGGCTGAGCCTTCAGCTTAGGTTGTTCAATATATAGTGGGGGTTGTGGTTTGTTGTAGGGTATTTTTTGGCTTTTTTTAACTGTGTCTTTTCTTGACTTTTAGAATCTAGGGGAGGATACAGGGAGCAATTTTTCTTCATGGTTACCATTTACCACACCTTTATGATCATGTTTCTGTGATTGTTATCTTCCTCAGAGTATCTATTCATCCCTTTAAATCATTCAGAACAACCTAATTTTTCCCTGGAGATAGAATTCTCCTGTGCAAATATGAAGCTATATGTGAAACTAATTTCTTCAGAAACTAACGATTGAAGTTCCAAAGCATTCTTCTGTTTAAATCTCTCTGTAGTTGTATTTTTAAATTACTTTTTTCTACCTTAAACCTGTTCTTTATCCCCATCATCAGTAAAAAAATGTGTATTACAAAATAAAATGTACCTAGCTGCTTACATAGTTCAAAATTTTTTTTGACCACTTCACTATGCACGAGTATGTAGATCATACTAACATGACACGACCTGAAAAAGAATTAGTTCCCCTAGGAAAAAACATAGCAACGGTTAGTCAGAAGGCATTTTTGACCATCATGGACGTGCTTGTGGGTTTCCTGGAACCCATGTCTTGTGAGGAGGCAAGGGTGTGCACAGTGCACACATGCCTGGCAGCACAGAGCCAGAAAGTTGATTTGACACTTGCTTCTGCACAGTGTCCCAGTAACTTTTTTGAGTAATCTGTTCATTTAAATTCAAAACTATGCTTAGCTTGGCTTATTTAAAAAGTGAATAAATTGCATATTACTAAGATGCCCTTGATAGCATAATGTACGTTTGCCTATGAGGAAGAATTACCAGCTTGTTTACTGTCTTTTAGCTTCCTTATCCAAAATAGCCCTAAGGCAATGACAAAGCATGACCTTGAATCTGTTATTCAGCATTTCAGGTTTTGGATATCCCCAAAATTTCCTCCAGACTTCAAGATTGGCATCAACTGCCTCCATTCCTAGTTGAGAAATGCCCATTTTTCTTCACGGCAGTGAAGACGTGTCTTGCATTTACACTGCTGAACATAAACTGCCAAAGATGAGGATTAGTTTCAAAATAGGCTTCCTATTTTTCAAGTCTTGCATCTTCTGCAGCACTGTGACAGGCTGATAAATGCCATGCTGGCAGCGTTGCGCCGTTGATAAAGTAGCTAATAGATTAGTGATGCCGAATGTGAGATGCTAATGGGTGTCTGGAGCTCTGCAGCCACTTGCTCAATCCTTCTTCAAGGGGTTGTATAGCGATACTCATCTACACTCCTATACAGAATAGTACAGGTGAATGGCAAGCAAATGGCATAGAGAGTAGGTTCTAGCATTTCTGGAGATGATATGGAACACTTGATCTCATTTACTTTTTATTTCTTTTTTATGTGCAGCATTGCCAGCTTGGTTCTGGATCAGAAACAACACTTGAATTACTTTTTAAGACATGTTTAAACTTCCTCATAAGTCACTGTCAAATTTGAAGGTGTGGACTGTGAGGTTCACAGGTTGACCCTGCATTAGGAAAAATACTTTCTTTGTTGGTGTTTCAGGCTATTTATAGTAACATTTTCCAGCTGTGGTATCTCAATGCACACAAACAGCCTTTATTAAAACAATCTGTGTGACAAATACTGTGTATTAGTAGTAGTAATCTTTTGCCTTGAAAATACTTACATCTTTCTTGCCAAGCTTTTCTTCATCTTTGGTGTGTTGTAGTTTGGTTTTGTTTGGGTTTTGGTTTTTCTTTTTTTTTGTTGTTTTCTTGTATTCAAGCTGGTAGAAAGTTTAGTTTGGGAGTAAGGAGGAAAATTCTAGGCTTTTGAATGTAAGAAATCCTTTTTACATATTCTTTCTGTTTTTCCAATAGCAAGCAGGTATTTTACTCACAATTGCCTGCACCACAAAGAAGCTGGTGTCCAAGTATCCAAAATGTGCTACTCTGCCTCTGCATGAGCTGGGCTAAAGGGAGACAGGCTGTGTGCCAAGATGAGGCAGGTTCTTGTTGCTGAACAGTGCTGCCCAGCTTGACAGGCCAGTCAACGGTTTGCTGCAGTGTTGCTTTAAAAATGTACTGGTTTTTACATTTAACAAATAAAAGGAAAGCCGTGTCATGTCTGTCAAATGTGTCCAGCTGATGCATTTCACTTTAATGTTCAAAACTTGTTATTTTGGGACTATGATAAATATAGCAGTATCCTTGTACCTTTATAAGGTCAGAAACCTTCCCTCCTTCTAACTCATCTTTTGAACTATTGGGTGCTTAATGTTTGTTCTAATGAAGCTGGCCATGGACTTTGTGCAGCCTCTTTGGACCCCTTCTACTTTAGTACTTATTTCCTTTAATGACTGAGCCATGGGTAGCTTTAGCCACCTGAGTCTTTCTGCTGGCCTCTTGCCTCAACACTGTTCACCCTGGTCCCAGCTGCATCTTGCTGCAAAACAACAGCCTGGCAGCAGAGATCAGATGTTCATAACTGCATGGTGCTTCTTGCAAAGGTTGTCCAGTTTGGTATTTTAGCAGCAGGTGTATGAAAACACAGTATTTCCCTGTAGCTGTGCTAGCTGGGCCATGGGATACTGAGGGTTAAAGGATGTTTCAATTCAAGCACTAAGTATCAGTAGTAGATATAATCGGTATATCTTCAAAACCAGTTTTAAAATAACTGGTATATTTTATTATGCAGAGAAAATGTAGTGAATGGATTATATCCAGTTGTATAATGCAATTGCATCCTGCTCTCCAGTGCCTCTTACTAATGCAATAATAATGGGGGATTTCCATCTGCTTTTGCAATGAATTCACTAAGGACAATCTCTGAGCCTAAAAGATGTCTGTCAGTGTCCCCCTCTCTATTCTCAGCTTAGCACCAGTATAGATTTGGCTTTATGCCACTACTATGTGTAAGCTCTTCCCTACAGTTTTCATTCTGGCTTCTGATTTACTATAGGATTTTTTGCTGATGCTGGTTAGATCTGTTTATAACACAGTCAATCTTCCTGATGTAGTCTGTACAGCTAGCTCTTCTTAGGGGTGAGGGGGTGAGAACAGCAGGAAGCTTTGGCTACTTGCCTGGCTGGGTTGATGAGGATATCTGTAGCTGTAACTGGTAGTGCAAGTGGCTTGGACGTGACTGGCCGTAACCCGTCACTGTGCAGAGCTGCATTTCTGCTGCACCCATCGTGTGTAGCTGTGAAAGGCCCCGGGGTTGTTAGGAGCAAGCCTGTATAAACCTCTGTATTTAAACTGTTAGCATTTGAAACTTCAGCAAGTTGATTTATCTTGCTGGGGGAGAGGTTCTTCCCCTATGTTTTCGTTGAGTATGTACTTCTAAATAAAACAGATCCTAATCTTCTAGCTAATTTTTTAATGATCTTGTTGCATCTGTGTTCTCTTGATAGTAGAAAAAGAGGGCCAGAGGTGAGCTGTCCACTTGTGTCACAGCTACTGCCATCTCATGCATTAAAACTATTTTCCCACTGTGAACTTGAAGAGAATGAGGTGTGTTCTCTTGGTTGGCTTTTTTGGGGGCATAGTTTGGTGACTTTTTGCACTATGCCATGACGATAAGGCTGTCTGGGGGTTTTGGTATTTGGCTTTTGTTTTTTTGTGATGTGTGGTAGGATTTTTTTTTTTTCTTACACCTCATCTATTCTCTGGTTATTACCTGTCAGCTTCATTTTCCATCTGGGAAAACAGGTCTATGGATACAGAGTGAGGGTCATGAGCAAACCTAGCATTGACTACTGACTTGTCAAACATTCATCTTCATCTTGCAGTTGTCTGGAACAAGGATTAAATCCCAGATCACCCTAAGGCAACAGGGGAGCCTTTAAGTGGGTATTGAATTGTTTACTTAGCAGACCAAAACCACTTTGTTCTTATACATACTCACCACAGAACTAGAGTCTTGTTCTTAGTACATTTTAAAAGGAATGGTGCTGAGTTAGAACCTTATGCTTCTCCAGCCTCCTGGCATGGCCCTTCAATTACATTGTAAATTATTTTTTGGCATTGTGTTTGATGCATCCCTTATTGATAGTGTTTTCTGTTTGGATTTTATCTAGGCTGGCTGAATAATTCTTCTTATATTCTTGAATCTTAGGTCTCTTGTCATTACTCATTTTTATCTTTATTTTTGGTTTTGTGAAATGTGGAAAATGCTTGCAAAAGACATAGCTGGCTTCTTTGTGCATGGTATCCAGATTTTAGTTGCCAAGTTTGCAGAATATGCAGGAGATTGTGCAACAAGCATTGTTTGCTTTTTAGATTTGCCAGGCAAAAAAGTTGCATCCTTGCTGCAGCTGTAAATCATTGTGGCAAACATCACTGTTTCAGCTCTGTTACGGCCATGTGTTTTCAGCAGTCATTATTTGCTGGCAGTGGTTTATCTACTCCTTTCTGTCTTTAGGCAAGTGCAGCGTGTCCTACTGTTTAGCCTCTTGTGTAACTCAGGGTTTACATATTATGGGTTTGAGAATGAGGAAGACAAAGCAAGAAATGAAATGTTTTTGTCATTTCAGGCAGATAACCAGATTTTATAACTTCATTGGTAGCTTTGATGTGCTCAGTGAGCCTTTTCCTCTGTAGGAAACTGATAGTAACAATTCACTGCAAAATGTTTATGGTATGCATATGCTTGTGATGTTCATGCATTATACCATGGACGTCATTTGAAACTAGAAAGTTAGGTACAGGAGTAGCAAATCAGTCTCATGGATTTCTTAAATCTCTTCCAGGACTCATAGTTGGGGTGATCTTGCGATATGGGACTCCCTCTACCAGTGGCCACGATAAGCCGTTCAGCTGCTCACAGGAGGACAGGCCATTTACAACACTGCTGGTCAACGTCAGCGGGAAGTTCTTTGAGTATACTCTCAAAGGGGAAATAAGCCCTGGGAAGATCCACAATGTGGAGCAAAATGACATGCTGCGGAAGGTGAGGATAGACCTTTCTTGTGCTTGGCTGTTTCTCCTTTATCTATGCTTCCTATAGATAGATATTTGCTGTAATAGATACTTGCTGTTACTATTCCTTATAGTAACAACACTTCAATGCCTAATTCAAAAACACCTTCTGTATTATATTATGCTGGTGAAACTGTGCTCTGTTGCATGTATGTAGTGCTTTCCCAAAGCCTTTGGTGGCTTTCTGAAGACTTAAAGTGTGTCTCTAACATCTGTAGAGTTTGGGAAGACCAATTGAACAAAAAAACCCCTGATGCTGCCTTGTATAATACCATATAAGGAACATGATAATTTCTAAGTGAAATGTGATGATTAGTGCTTTTTCTCTGCGTTTTAAATCTCTTTATTGTCAGGAAATAGTTACTGCTTACATCCCCATAATCCACCAAATGAGATAGCCTAGTACTGAAAGTGAAATTAATCAGTCAGCTGTGACTCAGATCTGCTCTTTGGCTTCTTATTCTCCTCAGTGTCAGGAATTAACCACCTTTTGTGTATACCAAAGCTAGACTTTGACGTATAGAATTGAGACTTTAAGGTTTGTAACCTAAAAATACTTTCTGCTATGAAGAGAGCTTAGGTGTCTGTTTGTATGTACCTGTCTGCTATAGATATCAAAAGCTAGCTGAGATTAAATTATTCCTAATATCTAATTTAAATCTGCCTTCTTCCAGTTTAAAGCCATTTGCCCTTGTCTATCACTACATGCCCTTGTAAAAGGGTTGTCGTGCATAATTATCATGAATATCTGAAGCTTCTACTGAAATACATGAAAGGGACATATGATTCTAATTCCTGAAAACCAGTCTTGTACCTGATTTGATTGGTCTGCAATAATTGTGCAGTAGCTAGATTTGCAAGAAGCCAAAGCTAAAATAGCATTTCATCTGCATATGTATGGATAACATGTGCCACAGTAAAAGATTTTTAGCAACATTTCTGTTAGAATTTTTTTAACTTAGGGAACTGTGTTTGGGACTGCTGCAAGGTAATCATTAGTGTTGGATGTGTAACGCCTGTCTTTTCTTGACGCTGTTTACCAAGAAGAGCTGCAGCTTTTTGCTGCTGCATATGAATAGAGCTGGCTGGTATTTTCGAGGGCCAGCTTAGCTATTTCAATAACCAAAAATAGTAGTTGTCAGAACATGAGAGAGGAAAAAGACTTAACAACTTGTGTATATCTCTTTCTAACTGAAGTTTCGTATTTTATTTTTTTAGGTAACATTTGACCCAGAAGTTTTTTTCAACATTCTGTTGCCTCCTATTATTTTTCATGCCGGTTACAGCCTGAAGAAAGTAAGTGTAACCATTTCTGAGGAGAATATCCCTTTTTTTATGTGAGACTGATGATTTGTTCAGGAGCGCAGTCTCCATTTCAAGCATTTTTTTTTTTATGGCAATAAGAAAAATTTCATTTCCCCCATAGATGGTTAGGTCATATTGTTTTAAGAGAAAATAAATGTAATTTTTACTATAAACACATTAAACTATTTAATCTTGCAGATTTGTTTTCCTTTGAACTTTGCCAGAGGTTAAGACTTTCATTTAAAGTAAAAGATGTCCTGCTATGAATTGTTTTGGTCCTTCTCAAATATCCAAAATGCAGTAAATTATGCTGAGAATTGGACCCAAACCTGAGTGCCAGTGTGGATATGTCAGACCCTGAATGGCAGAAGGGTCCAGATTCTGCTTTTAATCGAAGATACCATGAATTGGTGCTGGTTTCCAGCTTTGCAGTTAATTCTTACATCTTTTATGAAAACATCTGTGTGGAAAATTTCCTGTCTATAAGCTACATGTAGGATTTAATAGTTCAGATTCGATGTATTCAGTTTATTGAATTTGAACAGAATTTACATTGCAGTAATTGGAGCATTTCTCCGAAACGGAAGAGAGTTTCTGTGTATTAATGCATGTAATAGTGTGCTTATGTTTTCAACAGGTGATAAAACTTCTTCTAAATAAGATTATAAACCTCTTTTTCCTGTGCAGAGACACTTTTTCAGGAATTTGGGGTCTATCTTGGCTTACGCCTTTTTAGGAACAGCAGTCTCTTGTTTTATTATTGGGTAAGTAAACTTCATGATATCAGTTCCATTCTATACTAATGTTCAAGTTGATAAAGTGTATGTTGAGATTGCCAGATTGCATCAATTTTGTAATTTGCTTGAGGGTTTTATTTGTGCATCCTCCATATAAAATGCAAATGCAACTTTTGCTGAGACTCATCCCACTTCTAAATGGTACTATCTCTTGAAATTGACAAGTTTATAATGTTGGCAAAATATTGTCAATTTCGAATCGCTTGACAAGTTCACTGAACTCAAGAGCAGCATCGGGTTTCTGATGTAACTGTCCCGTACAAAAAACCCAAACAAACCCATCTTGTTATACTCTTATTGAAGTTGACTTTAACTTGAATTGTGGACATTACGTGTAATAGAATTTTAGCTATCAAACCTTGAGATGTCCTTTCAGTGCCCACATGCATGCACATGCTCTCTCTCTATGTACTTGTGTGTGTATATATAATCTTACGTGTATCTGTGCACACACATATAGTTTCATAGCTTGTCATGTTGGTTTACTTGCATACAATCTCCTATGCTGCTAATATTACTGTGTCTGGTGTATGAATATTCTGAAACACAGAAATCCTGAATTGCATAGGTGACATTGGTTTGTCTCAGAGAATTTCAGTAGAGAAATATTTTGAAGGCTATTCTTAGCTCAGTCTTTGGCCTGTGTGCTGCATTGGGAGAAGCAGTTTTGAGTAGGGAAATGTTCCCTTTGGTGGGAAAAAAGAACCTATAAATTCTGTGTATCAGCTGTGTGAACAGATTTCATGCTTTTTTGCTGGCTGTAACTTATAACTTCCAGTTCATGTATCACTTCACTCCTTTCCTAGGTAAAAGAGGAAAACTAATTTTGAGAGCTTAGTGTTACACTGTGGCAGTATCCCACAGAGCTGTAGCATAACCAAGCCTGCCTGAAGGACTGTTGCTTGTGCTTTTCTTTTGCCTGTCTGAAATGCACCAAGTTGTTTGACTTGGACTGTTTTATCCTCTTTCTCTTCAGGAATCTCATGTATGGGGTTGTGAAACTAATGAAGTTGGTGGGTCAGCTCTCTGATAAATTCTATTACACAGACTGCCTCCTCTTTGGAGCGATAATATCTGCCACTGATCCAGGTAGCTTGCTGAACATTTTTTTAACAACCATCCAAAATAATCCCATTGCTATGATTTAGCTGCATGGCACAAAGATATTAACAGCAGATGATTTTCAGTTACGTTATGCTAGTATCTCTGATCCTTTTCTCAGAAACGTATGCAAATTCTGAGTGTTGTGAAAGCTGTTCTGTCTTGGTTTGGAGCTAGACCAGTATGACATGATAGTATGTTTGGAGAAAAATGTAACTTTACTGTTCAAATATCTTCATTTTTTTTCCCCAGTAGGTTTTATGTTTAGTGTGCATCAAGTTGGACTGCAAATAGATGAATCTATTACATTGTCTGGATAGAAGGACTTCTTCCTTTAGCTGCATTGCTTGGAACACTGGATAGTTTAAGAGCAATATTTAGGGCTTTAAGGCTCTTTAGGTGTGACGTGCTTATGTTTTTCCTCCTCCAAATGAACTTCATGTATTACAAGTTTAAGCAGAAGAATGTTCTTGTGGCAGAATAATTAGAGCTTTTGCTAGTCAACCTTCAAAGTCCAGCAGGCTCACACAGGTGTCTCTGCTTGACAGAACAGTCTGGAGAGCTGGTGTGTGTCAGGGGCTGGGGTAGGGAGTGGGGAAATATGAAGCTTGATGTTTAAAACAGATTATTTGAGGTACTCAGTGGTGATTTGTGTGAAAATGGGAAGTAGCTCCTGCAACTGAGCTGAGCTCTGAACAGCTGGTCATTGCACACAATTTATGCAAATAATCACCAGGTGATTTTTGAAGCTCGTATGCAGAAGCATCTTCCAGATCGTGGTCTTTCATCTCAGTCTGAAGTGTCTTGAAAGGATTTTTATGAATATTTAACAGTTTTGCCCTTTTCAAATGATGTGCAAGTGCACACTCCTGTAACACAGAGTGTGCTTAGGGAAATAGGATTATTAGCACTCTTACAATGGCTGAAATACTAAAGCTGTGTCAACAATCCATACAGCCTTTAAAAGCAGCAAGAGCTGCGCTATGTTTTGTTGATAATCTTTCACAGAACATCTTCTAAAAAAAGAATAATGAAAAATAGCATCAGGGCTTTGGTGCTTTTTCTGCCGCATTCCTCTTGATCATGGAGGCTTTCTTACAGATACAGTGCAGATGGGAGGATAACAGAACCACCTCCTAATGGAGCTGTCCTAAAACTGATGATGGAATTACTTACCTATAGATAAACGTGACTAGTCTGCTTCCCAGTTGAATTTTGATCCTGTACTTAAATTTCTAGGGTTTGTTGCTTTAGGCAAACTAGAGTCAGCCCTATCAGCTCATGCAATTGTTCCTGAAGTCAGCCAGTGTGTTTTTTTCTCTTTTCTTTCCATAGTTACGGTGCTAGCAATATTTAATGAGCTGCATGCTGATGTTGATCTCTATGCCCTTCTGTTTGGAGAGAGCGTGTTGAATGATGCTGTTGCCATTGTATTATCTTCGTAAGTTACTACCTGAATTTCTACTCTGAAATTACTTGTTTTCTGTATTTGTTTAAAATAAATGCTTTTTTTGAGAAATGTTATTTTAAATATAAGTGGGTTGTCTTGAGCTGAGCTAATAACGTTGCAAATGTTTGCCAAGATCCCTCATGCATATGTACATGGCATATTTGCCCTCAGTACGGGATTGTCTCTTCTGTTGCTCAGGTGTTGTTATTACAGAATCATAGAATCATTTATGTTGGAAAGACCTTTAAGATCAAGTCCAACCACTAACTCAGTACTGCCAAGAACCTTGTACTGTCAAGTCCACTGCTAAACCATGTCCCTAAGTGCCACATCTAAACATCTTTTAAACATCTTCAGGGATGGTGACTCCACCACTTCCCCGGGCAGCCTGTTCCAATGCTTGACAGCCATTTTTGTGAAGAAATCTTTCTTAATATCCAATCCAAACCTCCCTGGCACACCTTGAGGATGCTACCTCTTATTCTATTGCTTGTTATGTGGGAGAAGAGACCAACTCCCACCTCACTGCAAACTGCTTTCAAGTAGTTGTAGGGAGCAATGAGGTCCTCCCTGAGCCTTCTCCAGACTAAACACCCCAGTTCCCGCAGCTGCTCCTCATCACACTTGTGCTCCAGACCCTTCACCAGCTTCGTTGCTCTTCTCTGGACCTGCTCCAGCACCTCAGTATCTCTCTTGTAGTGAGGGGCCCAGAACTGAACACTCTATCTGAGGTGCAGCCACACCAGTGCTGAGTACAGGATGATCACTTCCCTATTGCTGCTGGCCATGCTATTTCTGTTACAGGTCAGGATGCTGTTGGCCTTCTTGGCCACCTGGGCCACTGCTGGCTCATCTTCAGCCAGCTGTTGACCCAAAACTTTACTTGATATACAGTTTTCCGATTGCTTTTCTAACTTCTCATTGTGTTACTGTCCTTCCAGATCCATAGTTGCATACCAGCCAACAGGAGAAAATACCCATGCTTTTGATGCAGCAGCATTTTTCAAGTCTGTTGGTGTTTTTCTGGGAATATTCAGTGGTTCTTTCATGATGGGAGCAGTGACAGGAGTTGTGACAGCTCTGATATCCTTTTTCACGTATAGCTCTTCCAGACTAGATGCCACATTCAGGTATTAACAAGGTTCTTCTGTTTCCACCTATACCAAAATTGATGCTACCTTGTTTTAATGAGTATGAAGGTATGATCAGTAGTCATGTGACCTTTGTCTATAGAAAGGCATTTTAGGTACCCACAGAAATCAACTTTTACCAGTATAACAGTAGCTGCACTTGAAGTAGAACAGCACACACAATAGCGCTGCATGCTAGAAGCGCAGGGGAGGCCGTAATGTATCCTAATGTTCAGTTTCTTTTTATGAAATTAGAAGAATAGTCTTGATTATTACTCTTGAAAGACATCTCCTATGATAACTGCTATGTGATTTTGTCTTCAGCAAAGTCATTAATAGGTATTTCTGACCCCATAGGTTCTCCAATTCCTGCATTTAAACTTTCTGCTGGTAATCTGATGTTATCTGTCTTGGATAAGATTGTATCTCTACCAGAGTTAACATCATAATGTGAAGTGCTTTGCATGATCTGTCCTGTTCTCTTGAAGCTTACTGCTGCTATTTGATTAGAGCTCTGGGGTACTCAGCAAGCAGTCTTGTGTTGTTTTTTTTTTTTTTATGCTCAGGCAGTAGGTGTTGAGCCTGACCTGATCCAGAAATCATGATGCCTCTTCAGGAGAAAGAAAGTTCTTTGCTTTCAGACTGGCTAGCATAACCATGTTTGTGCCTATCTGAGATTGCTTTGATCTGCCTAGACTTCTGAACATTGACCTAAAGGGGCATAATGTGCTGTTTTATACAATAATCATGAACCTGTGACTCTTCAACATAAGAAATAATGTCTTAACTGTATCCTGTTATATACACACTGTGCAGATTTGTCTGATATTTCTGCAAGATGGAAACCCTTGAGGTGTAAGGGGGAAGATGTGCCTTTGATGCTTTAGTATTTGGTCTTCCAGCTGCACTGATCCACAATCAATGTGACCATTCAGATCCATTTTGTAAAATCATGGCTCTTAGGCAGCAGCTGGTTCTTGCTGTTTCTGATGTTTGTGCTCAGGAGGTGGTATGAGGCTGGGAGGGGAGAGGCTGTTCAGAAGACAGCCTCTGTAGTGGTTTGTATGTGTGTTTCTGTTGTTTTAGTTGGGTTGCTCTATTATACAACTTTATTTTCTTTTGGAAAAACACTGAATGTCATGCAAGAATGTGGCTGCAAACTGTAAATTTGCATTTTACGCTTTGTAGCTGATTAGAGCCCTTAAGTCATGAATGAAACAGACTGTTATTCCAGTATCTGTGAAGCACCTCTCTGAGGGATTTCATGCAAACATGCATTGCCCTTTGAAAACAGACAGAATACTTAGTTTCCAAGTATGATGCAGATAATATACAAGGACTTGTTCTGGCTTTCAGCGATCTGTCTTAACCTCACTATCTGTGGTTGTTTTTATAGCAGTTAAGTATTGTACCACTTTGTATTTTCTTTGTAAATTGCAGAATCTGCCTGGTTTGAAATGAAGTGAAGCAGAAGGCCATGTCTAGGCCTTTGTGTAGGAATACATAGTTAAGAAAACAGAAACAATAATTTAATTTGAATTTATGCTTTAATTTGTTCAATTTTATGAAAGAATATTTTTTTTTCCTTTTTCTCACCATCTTCCTCCAAAATAATGAGCACAAGCTTTCATTTCAGATTTAATGAAATGTTTTGGTATGGTTACTTATAATAACAGCAAGGGGAATAAAGAATTTTATTTTCAGAGCTGCCAGAAAAGATTGAACATGAGGAATTGGCTCTGATAAGGGCCCTTGCCTAACTTCGGGGGAACAAGGTTCAACCTCTTCCTCTCTGACTGTGCTATCCAGTTTTTGAAGCAACCATGAGTGCCTTTGAAGCCAGCTACTGGGATGAGCTTGTGGTGGGATTATCTGAGTGCTCTGTGAGATGGTTTCTATGTTTGCTATGGTGGATGTTGCTGCTCCAGAAGCATGATCTTGGAGGATTGATTGGGAGAAATTCAGTGGAGTGTAACAGTACATCCTTAACAGTTTTAGAGAGATGGTTTATGTGGAGAAGTGACTGTGGAGAATTAACAGCTGCTTAAAAATGTTGAGGTTTATATTTGGTGTAAAGTCAACTGTCATGGGGAATAATATTTTTTTGATGATGATTTGGGCTTTTGTTTTGAGGACAACCTTCTGACAAAGCAAGGTCACAGCTGAAGGTGTGGCTGGAGTTTGTGTTTCAGAGCTCTTGACCTCCTTCAAGTTAGCAGAGAATGCCAACAAGAAGTAGATGTGGGTGGGGAGCGAGTGACTCGCCTCAGGATTGCTTCATCCTAACTAGGCTTCCATTGAAACACTGCCAGCTGCTTGCCTCTGGTGTTAATCACTTGTGGCTTGTTGTGGATGATGTGATATTCTGTGATAAAGCCCACAGGAGACTGTTCCCACAGAGGCTCCTGGGGTACTTGACTGCTGCTTGCAAGAGGCAGTTGAGGGTGTTGTGAGCCCCAGGCCTCCCAGGGCCTGTGAATTTCCTGTGAAAACCAGTGCTGCTCGTTGCTTTTAGATCCCTATCCTGTAACAGCCATGACTCCTCAAGCAGCAGTGCTGCCATTAGCTGGTGTGTGTTGCTTTAGAAAGCCCAGGATGCAGCTGTGTTACTCATGGGGAGCAATGGTGGATGACCGTGCAGTCTTGACGTGTCCGTTGAGGTACTGGTTGCCTTCATAAGAGCAGGGGAGGGTGCTACCACCTTACTGTTTCAAGTGTGCTTGCCTTGCTGTTCTCACACTTGGATTTCAGAGGACATCATGCTAGTTGTCAGCTTTCAGAAAGACCAAGAATCTCTATACTACCTCTGCTAGCACATGGTTCCTTCCTGTGTCTTCTACTAGAGTTGCGCATAGCTGTCTGCACCTCAGCTACACTGAGCTGTTCAGTGTTCACCTGGTGCCAAAGCAGCAATGAGGAAAAAAAACAACCCAAACTTCTATGAATATGTGAACAACTTCTGTAGTATGTGAAGAGTTATATTTTAAACTACTGAAATCTGTTGTAATTCTTCAGTAGCTGTAGGAACTGTTAATTCAGTGTGTCTGACATTTCTCAAGGTTTGCTCTCCCCTGGAAGATGGACTTGTTTGTTCTTCCTACTGAAAAACTGAATTGCTCTGATTGAGTTGGCTTTTACTTTAAAACATATCAACACAAGGAGAGAAAATATATTCTATTGTAGGCAGGATTTCTGTTTTGCCTCCAAAAGAACAGAGGAAGCCACACTCGCTGAAGAAGTTTTGTCAGCAAATCTGAGCAGAAAAATTCTGATAAATCTACTTCATCTCTTGGAGCTGCTGTAGTCAAGAACTACCGTGAATTACATTCTTCTGAATGTATTTTATGCTTTATTTAAAAGTAGGAGGGATCCTATGGGGGTATGCGAAATCCTAAACAACAACAAAAATCCCCAAACAAAATGCAAGACGACAGTTTAAAAGGAATTCCAGGTATATATACCTTCCCTGCTGGCACTTTGCAGGGACAAGTGGCATAGAGTAAGATACTACCTCAACAAGGTGGAGCCACAGTTCTGCCACTGATACGCAGCAAAAATTGACTGTTGCCAAAGGGGGACCTTGATTCTGCAGTTTTGCCTTGATGTGATGGAATTTGTTTTTCAGCACTTAAAATGTTTTATTTTCCAAGGGGTGTTCATTGTTAGCACCTAGGTGTTTTCCATAAATACTGGGTACAGAGAAGCCAAAGAATTTCTCTTTTGCCCCTTAACAAATGACTTAACGTGACGAAGTTTACCAAGTTGCACTGCTTCCCCCTGCTGGAAACGGCTCTCTTCTTCTTGATGTCCTGGAGCACCTTCTTGCTTGCAGAAGCTTGTGGGTTTACTGGTGAGTTGTTGGGATTCAAACATATGGAGACAGTAGTCCTGTCCATCTTAGCAGCCGTTTTTCCACTTTGTTATGTAAGCTTTTCTAAGAGAAACATGGTGTTGGTATTTAATGCCTTTTTCTGTACAATGCCATTGAGGGTGCAGATCACTGTGTACCAAAGGCTTTTAAGAACAATGGTTTGGTTCAAATACCACCTCCCCAACCTGCAATCTAACTCACTTGAAAATAAGGTTCATAAAAATCTCAAGGTTGAGGATTATGTATAAATTTAATAGAATTTGGCAAGGGAAAATGTGTTGAGCTCACAGAATAACAGGCTGATTTTTTGCATGTGATTCTGTTCACAGGTGTGGTGGCTGTCCTCTTCTGTGGAATTACCCAGGCACATTATACATACAATAACTTGTCAGCTGAATCAAGAAGTCGCACTAAGCAGGCAAGACTGTCATCTTTTGTACAGTGTATTGCTGTAGTAGTCCACATACTCTTGTTTCTGAAAAGCATCTTTATTGCTTGGCCTCTAACATGTGACTGTTTTGATCCTAGCTCTTTGAGGTATTGCACTTCCTGGCTGAGAACTTCATATTTTCTTATATGGGTTTGGCACTGTTCACTTTCCAGAAACACATATTCAGTCCAGTTTTCATCATTGGAGCTTTTGTATCCTTTTTCACTTTGTGTGAAGTTTCTCTATTATCTTATATACCTGAATACTTATGGTGTCTGCTGGCATTACCACATAGAGGGTGGTGGCTGACCTGAGTTTTCCCGATGTCTTGCAGGCACAATAATTGTGAGAACAATCTGTGGTTACTCCTTACATCAAAGCCTCTGTGCCACACAGTTGTTGGCTGTTACCTGAGCAAGTGCTAGAAGTTGCATAATTTCAATAGATAAATCAAATGCCTTATTGTATGACTTGCCTGTTGACAGCTAGCAGTGCTTGTGTTGCTTTTGTATTCAGAATTTGAAGGCCTAGAAAAGGATTCATTTATTTCTTCACTTCTAATGGTCCCTTGAAGAAAGCAAGCAAGCCTCAAATGAGTAAAGAGGATCGTGGGTGAACACTTCAGCAATGCCCTAAATGTATAGGTCAGGATCTCAGGTGGTGGGAGGGGGAAGGAACTGAGCTGTGGTACAGATGGTGACACGAAGGGTACACAGTGCTGAAAGGGCTGGTGTTGGAGCTGGTATGCAGTTCCCCTTGTCCCTTGCTGACTGGTACATGGGTCTTATTTCCTGGAACTGAACGCTTTTGTAGTAGTCACACTCATGTAAGCTAGGAATCACTAGATTGCTCTCTGCATGCTGCTCCTGTAGAAATGGCTTATGTAACTCTTTTTTCACTGTATTTCTGGCTGCTTGAAATTTCAGAGCAATTAAAAGTGTGCATGAAGTAATGGGAGCTAGTCTTCCAGTTTTGGTTTCTCTATGCCTGTTGCAGAGATAAAACTTAGTGGAAGGACATATAAAGATGGCCTAACGTGGAATGTACTACTTCTCTCTCCTTCTTTCTACCATTTTCTCATATCTTTCTACTGTTTCTATGGATTTATCCAATTTGTCTTTATTTTTCTTTGGCCACTTTTTTTTCTGCAACATTAATAAATGTTCTCTTGTGACTCCTCATGTCTGTTCTTCTGACCTAAAAAGTGCTCCAGAGCCCTGCAGCCACTGGATATATATGAGCAGAATAGTTTCATCTGGTATATTAACCATTGCAATTTTCTGTCTTTGCTGTGGCCTTCCATCCTCTCTTAGGTTATGCTATCTGTTTTGGTTTTGATATCAGTATTTATTTTGTTCCTTTTTCTTCCTACCCACCTATCTTTTATTACATTTTCCACATCTTTTTCTACCACCCCACTCAATCTCTGTTGCCTCTTGAGTGTTTTTCTACCTTTGTGAGCAGGTCAGCTATACTAGCACGAATTTTTTGCCTCAACAACTGCTGTCCCTGATGAGTTCACACCTTGTGGGTGTGAAATGTGGAGGCATCATTAGCTGTTGAAACACAAAAGCTTGACTGCAAAGGTACAGCTAAAGCCTTAATGTCATTGACAGAATGCTAGCTGTTGTTCCTACATGCATTGGTCATGATGGCTTCTGATGTCTTATTTCTGCAGCCTGCAAAAGGATTGCTATGAAAGTTGTATGGAATAATTACATGAAGCTTTTTTACAAAGTAATAATAAAAATCTTATTTTCCTGGACACACAACTTCCCGCAGACAAGTAGTGTTAATTTGCTTTTGTTATGGCAACAGTACAGTGATGTCTAGAGCTCATGCATGGTTTCCTCTCTTTTCCATGAGAAAGTTGTTTCATTCTTCTAATTCTGTTATCCCAGCAGCAAATGATCAGTGTTTGGCTGGCTAGTGTGTTGATGTTTTATGGGATTTCAGCACATCACTCTAGTTTGTTTCAAAGTGCTCCTTAGACAGTTGGGGGTGTATTCAACTTTCTGCTTCTCCATTGGAACCACTGGATGTTTTACACCACAGTAAGGATATGAAGGAGCTTACCACCATGAATTTCTGCAATACTCTTTTAAACTTAATTCTAGTACTAATAAGCGGGTTTTGGATTTATCATCTTAGTAATTCTGTATTTTCAAGTGCTTGCAACTCAGTAGGAGCTTTTGTCTCTGAAGGAGCCATAATGGAGTTGTCACTTTCTGGTCTTACACTGGTTTTTCTTCTGTACATAGGCCTGCATTTCTGTGGGCCTGAAACACATAATCAAATGGTGGTGGTGATAGCTGTTTAAAGTGTGATTATTTTTATTTTATTTTATTTTTAAAGGAAATTCTTCCTTTCTAGAACTGTTAATGTTGATATTAAGTATAATCTCACTGTGCAGAAACAAACTTGGTTATGTTAAAATTTGCTTTCCGTGCCATGAGTTATGTGTGCACATAACTGGTGAAAGTCTGGTTTATATAGATAGAGATAACAAGAACCTTTGATATTATGAAGTAAACCTTTCACTAAAACAGAAGCTTTATGTTAGAGCCAGGTACCCAAGAGTGCATCCCTCAGGAAAGTGAAATCCTTAACCCTCAGCTGTGAACAGATTGCAATCTTTTTTGGCAGAGCTGCACACATCTACCCTCTCTCCTTCTTGTTGAATCTGGGCAGAAGGCATAAGATCAGCTGGAACTTTCAGCACATGATGATGTTTTCAGGTAAAACCAAAAAAGTTTGGTAAAGTAAAAAGTCTTACTTTTAACTCATTTATGGTACTACCTTCTGCTTTTATAATCCACATTCATTCTACTCCTGAATAGAGACTGAAAGGTTGTTGCAGCATGTCATCAGGTATCTTTCAACCTTTACAGAAAGTGTGTCATGTCTGGAAAGAGTGACATGTCAAAATGCCAGGTGCTGGCAGAAAGCAGTCACCTCATGTTGGGAACAGAGTATTTTTCATTTTGAAGTACATCTGGAGGGAATGGGGGAAATGGGATGTATCTCTTCCAGAAGGTTATTTCTATCTGAGGTGTTGTACACATTGTGCAGAAACAAGCATCTGCTGAGAAAATCAGGCGTCTTTTTGGGTGCGCTCTAAGACATAGTTGGAAAAAGCAAGGTATAGGAACTTAGACTGCCTTACAATTTCTGTCACACAGATAGCTAGCGGAGTTGCATAATTGGGCTGGGAGGAAGGAAGAGGAATATAGTCTGCATCTGAACATGTTATTAACTGAGCTATTTTTCCAGCTGATATCCTCATATCAAGAACTCATGCTTCATTTATGGAATCTGGAAAAGTGTGCATATTCATTTGGATTCAGGGAGCTGCTTGATTTCCGTAATATATTTTCCTTTTGTCCTCAATTTGCTTGTTTCTGCATTTCTGTCCTGTTTCTGGAAATATTTACAGCTTTTCTTAGCACTTGTGAATTCTGTAAATTACAGAAAACTACCAGGGAAAATCATGTTCTAGATTATCACAGCGCATGATTTATCAGGGAAACCGTGGGAATTAAAATTTGCCAGAGCCCAGTGTTTTCTGCCCATCACTTTGTGCCTGTGTGGCAGGGAAGGAGCAAGGAAAGATGCACTGTTATGAATAGGTGTGGTTGCACTACTGAAGCCCTGCTATTTCATTCTTTTGCATAGGTCTCAGGGGAGCCATGGCATTTGCTTTGGCCATACGAGATACTGCTACCTACTCACATCAAATGATGTTCTCAACAACTCTCCTCATCGTCTTTTTCACTGTGTGGATTGTTGGTGGAGGTACAACTCCCATGCTTTCATGGCTGAACATCAGGTCAGTGCAGCTACGCCGGGGAAACTTCACTTTTCAGGTGGCAACTGTGCTAATTTAGCATAGCTCTACAGAACTTGTTTGAAGCTTGCTAGAGCTGTTCTAGGTGTTTAGAACATCATGTTTTATAGAGGAAGGTGCTAGTGCAGGCTGGTGAAGAAAATGTATTGATGCTGTTGGGACTCAGCCAAAAGATCTCTTATGCTCTGCAAGCAAGTACCTAGGTCCTTGTCAGCCCAGTAGTATATGGAATAGTGTCGCCTGATACGGAAGCCCCTAAACTGGAAAGAAAGAATTAATCTGTCTAGTTCTATGTAAACTTCTAAGTGTTCTAAGACTTTTCCCTGTCTTTTGACTTTTGGTAATGGCCCCATTACTTTTAATTTAAATGGAGTCTTTAGTGGATGGTGCTAAACTGAATGCACTTCAAACATCTATCCAAACAAATGTGATGTTATCTAAACAACTGGGATAAGTGGGATCCTGCTAGTTTTATAGCCGTGTTTCCTCCTGCTTTGGTGATACCTGTGAAAATGGTATATAGTGAGGTTATAGACATTTGTCTGTAAATCCTGACCAATACTTAGTACACTCAGGCTGCAAGTACATTCATGTTTGAGGATACTTATCAACAGAAGATGTTAGAATCATGAATCAGCCGTTGTTAAAGATCACCTATGTTACCATTCTGTGAAAGTTTTAGCAGTTGTGGGGGATAAAGGTGAATAGAGTAGAATCAAAACCATACACATTGTAAAAACCCTTCAGTGTGTTTTTCATAGGTAAATTATTTGTGCTCTTTGGCATTTGAAAGCTTACATTGTCTTGCTTTCTAATTGTGCTAACCAGAATTTGTATCCCATTGTCTTGTGATAGGATAAGAAAAAGCAATTTTTAGATAAAATCAGTGTCAGTCTTTGGAAGAAATGATTATTCTTGAAGACTAATGCTGTTTTTGGAAAACTGAAGTGAACTCCTTGTGGCAATAGGTGGCAGATTGTTTCTAGGTTGGCAAAAAGAAAAAAATGGGTAGTACTTTCAGAAATGCATGTGAACTCCTTATTGAAGGTAGCATGCTTCCAGTTGGAGACAGACATTACAGCAGTGATTTAGAGTATCTCAGCTCTGACTAACGGCAAACATTAGGAAATCACAGTTTTCTTTTTTGGTGCTAAATGAATCCATTTCTGTCTTTTAAAACTGTTCTTAAATGCAAGTTCCAGATGTTTGGCTAGCACACCAGAAAGAAGCATCACTTCTGTGTAGTAAGGCTCTCTGAAGGTCATGTTGCTAACAACAGGTAATACAACACATGGTGTGAGGTCAACAACAAAACCAGTTCCAGTGCAGTTGTATCATTAATGACTGTGAAATACCACATCCTAATGATATTTTGAAGTCCAGCCTTCACTGGTTTGTGTTCCTGTTACATGCGAGAGCTGTGCAATGACTAAAAGTACCTGGCATAGGTGCCATGTGCAGCTTTCCGTTTGACATCTCTGACAACAGGAGGAGATTTCTGTACAGTGGGGGTATATAATGAACAAATGTACTAATAAACCTCTGCAAGCAGGACAGGCACAGTCTGCATAACTGGCAGCATGCACAGACTGTCCGAGGCATGGGGTAGGGTACAAGGGAGCAGAAGATGAGCTCTGGACAGCAGTACACAGGTAAGAACACTGCTTGCAGTCGGCTTGCAGTAGTTGAACAGTCAGCCAAGAGCTGCCTGCAGCCCCTGCAATGGTCAGTGTGTGGATATCCCTTTTCTGATCTCCATTTGAGTGGATTCCAAAGCCTCTTCCAAAGTGACCTTGATGCAACGAGGTCAATAAAACTGACTCTTAACAGCTGTCATCATAGGTGATGACATCCTGAGCCTTCTGCCCTGATGTCTGCACCTCTTTTGCACCTCTTTTGTTAGGGAACATTGTTGGATATTTCCTTCAAACCTCATCATCCAGTAACAGATGGGATGTGTTGCTGACCAGCTAAGTGAATAATTATGTTTGGCCTACCTGTATCAGAAGGCAGCTTCTGCGTGCAGTCAACCATTACTTCTGTCACCGGGCTCCTCCAGCCATCAGTGGTAGGACAGGACTAAATTCTAGTATGTGGCCCAGCTCCTGGTTAACTCTAAACCAGTTCTGAGGCAGCAGGTTACCCCATTCCCTCACCGTTGAGTCTAGGAAGCAGTTTGTAGAAGCATCCAAGAATATACACTTCTTTAGCAGGACTAATCTGATTCAGTAATAAGACTCCATGAGCCTGGCTGATGAGTTGCTCCTGAAGTGAGAAAGGGCTAACACCATATCCATTCCAGGTCTGCCCTTTGGGTAGGCTGTGCTTGCAAAAATCACTAACGTGGCCAGCAAGGCAGAACAGCTGGAAAGGCTGTGATGCCATTCCTAGGCAAGTAGCTGTCAAAAGGCAGTTGAGTGTTTAGCTGTAGCTTTCTGGGAGATTTACCCACCCTTGCTAGTAAACAGTAATTTTAACTGTCGTTTGTTTGACATGGTTGACAAAATAAATTGGTACCTTCCTTATTATGGGAAGGATATCACGTAAACAAGGGAACTCTATGTAAGAAGTATTTTGGAGAACTGCATGGGTATGTCTACAGCTGCCTTGATAAGCGCTGCTCTGTTAAGGAAGGAGACTGCAATTTCTGAGACCACGTGAAATTAGATTTGTGCCAGAAGGTGGCAGCCGTGTGCAGCTGATCGAGAATTAGACACTTGTTGCTGATGAAGTACTCTCTGTAATAGAGCCCTTTCTGCTGGAAAGCGAGCAGTCCTGTCTGACCTACAGGTTTAAGAAAAGAACACGTTAGTTTCCAGCTGAATTTTACAAATGTGCTGCTTCTCTCTTTTTCTATCCCTCTCTACTCAGTGGAAGTGGTAGGCAGCAGGAGATGAAGATGAGATGCCTCCCTTGCAGCACAGGGTATAGTGCTGACACAGGTCTGAGGCCCCTGTCTCTGGGGTGGCATGGGATAATTTCTGAGCCTTAGCACTTGCCATTATGTTAGATTGCAAGAGGCTAACATGAAAATTAAGTTGTGGTAAAGTAAAAAGCAGTGTAAGAAGGAAAACAAGCAAAAATGCCCTCTGCTTCCCTTGCTTTGTTCTGAATGTCTCACGTAATCAGAAGAGCAGGAATCTTTCCAGATAGGGTATGTCACCAGTGTACCAGGGTCCATTAACTAGGCTTAAATGTAGAGCTAAGCAGAGAACCCATGGTTTGTAGCAGAGGCTTAACTTCAGTTTGCTGCTTGACTATTTGGGAAAGTGAGGTCATGACTGCAAAATCTGAATAAAAAATAATGGGATCTTTAATGAATAAAAAATAATGGGATCTTTAAGTGCTTTTGGCTTCTGCCACTTGATGCTGAGCAAATTAAAAATTAACACCAGAAACTGGAGTTAAAGCCCTGATGTCATGTGTTTTGAATTTCTTGGCTGTCTATCAGTGGGATGTATCCAAGCATGCGAATAGTAAACAGACTTCTCTAGGAGTAGATTTTTTTTTCTTAGAAACTAAAGGAAGACTTGGATATTAAAAATATAGTCTCATCCTTCTGAGGCTAAAAGGAAGAAAGAAAGAAAGAAATAATTTCCTGCCTGAAGTTTTAACAGTCTCAGAAAACTCAAGAGCTCTGTAAATCAAAACCACTAGCAAAGTTCCTCTTTTCAGAAAAGTAGCTGACTTATCATTTCATTTATCTGTTACAGGAAAAAAGGGAACTCCTGTCATTTGTATTGCAAAACAATGGTTTTTTCCATTTTTCATTAGAGGTTATTGACCTGGTTCTTCTTATGTTGAATGAAGTAACACGTAGATTAATGCCTTCCTCTCCTCCACAGTCTGCTTCAAATGAGGAAGCTCATGCTTCTTTTAATGAAGTAATTTCAGTTATATTTAGTGACCTTTTACTAAATCTTAAAGCACTATATCTTTCAATTTAAAATATTTTAAGTATCCTTCTACCACAAAAGCTAAAGGTTGCACAGAAAATGTCAACTTAGATATTTACTACCTTATGTCGGTTTCTAAGAGCTTTCTATTTAGTGATTTGTATTTTATTTTTTCCTTTAAATGGGCAAGCTGAAAAAGAAATCTGGAAACACTGACTCTCACATAACTGCTATGTTAACTACCCAGTTATCTGGGATGGTGGTAAAACTGGCAGCTTGGTGGCAATCTCAGGTTATACTCCATTATCTTACCCAGGGTGATCCAACAGTAAAGTGTGCGTTTCTTAAATACCATGCCTCAGTGTGCTGCAATGGCAGGAGGCGAGTACTGATGTTGGGATCCAGCTTTGTGTTACATTTCAGACTGGAATGGGGGATGTCTGATAAGAGGTTACATCTTTCTGTTTTGCAGCCTGTTTCCATTACTCTACAACTTAGATCCTTCACTGCTTTATTTTAGCTGCTTTCTGCTGCCCTTGAAGGGCAGATACACAGACAGTTCTGTTCCTTGCCTTGTTGTGGTTTTTTTCCTTTCACAGTATCATTTTCTGCACTGTTTCGTCCAGTTGTCTTTCCCTGCCTATTTTCTCCCATCTTCCTCATTCTTTCCCAGTCTCTAGTGTGTCTCATCGTCAGTCTTGAATCTCTCTTGCTGGAGGTGCAATGCAGCCTCTGAACCTCCAGCCTCACCCATGTGGGTCTTTCCTTTGGTAGGAAAGAGATTGCCTCATGTTTTGGATATCTGGAATTAAGCACAGGAGATGCTTCCTTATCTCTAAAATAAATTCTGTGCTCTAAACCATAACAGTTCACACCGGGGAGAAAATGCGTGGGGAAGGCCCATACCCTGTAGGAGCTGGGCTGAGATAGATCTAGGAGCACATGGGTGATACGGGTTTAACTGCCAAGCTTTGGCAAGCCTTAGCAGGCAGTTTCAGGAGTCCTTACCTTTGTTAGGTAAGAAACCCAACCTTGTTAGGTAAAACCAACCTGAAACAACATTTCCTAATTCCAGGGTTGTTTTAGTGACTGGGCTTTAGTTTTTATTTATTTCTGTATCATGCTGGTGGGAATTCTCTTCTTCCTCAGGCAGCCTCTAGGAAACTGTTGAAATCTTCCAAAATAGCTAAAATTTTCCAAAAATACTGCTCTCATTATAGACATCTGGGAAACCTTCAGTGTTCTGACTTGGCAAAGGCACAGCAACGAGAGAGAAGTTGCTGAGGGGAACTTGTTGGGCAGTTTTAAATTTTAGGTTTTGGTGCACATGCAGAGGTGTCTCAGTTTTGCCCTTTCGGAACAAAGTGTTCTGACCTGGAGTGTATGTTTGCATGGGAGAACAGCTATTGAACTAGGAATCCAAAACAAATCCATCTAAAGTCTTTGGCTCAGCCTTCAAGGATTAGAAGAGTGCATGCTCTTCATAGCACGAGTTATGGCCTTAAATATTTGGTTCATTGAGATGTCAGCTTGCAATCAGGTGTGTACACTTGCTCTTTGTAAAAGCAAGGCCTCTGTGGATTTCTGATCATCTGGGCTTTTATTTCACACAAGCAGTATATAGTTCATGTAGTATGCCTTCATGGAAAAATAAGGGAAAAAAAGCCCCCACAAGCTGCTAAAGAATTCATGTGGAAAATATTAGAAACCAAACATTCTTTCATGGGTGTTTAAGTACAACTGAAAAAGGCAATGCAAAGTAAAAACACATTCTGCTATGACTGAAGATCAATGTTGCCAAAGATCGTTAGCCAGTTATTAAACAGTTTATAAAAAAAAAAGAGTGATTTAGTACCTATTACCAGTTGTTTTGGACTGCTCTGAAACTAGGCAGTTGTTGATGGTTATTGGCATCCTTTTTCATGTACTCATAGCTTCCTGTGGTTATTTTCTCCAATAAGTTTTTCTCTTTTAGACTACATGCAGGTCCGAAGTGGTAGGAATTGGCTTAGATCAGCTCTGTCTGTAGAGCTATCGAATCTAATTTTCTGGTGGAGGTAGCCTGTCATGAATAGAGGTGTTTTGCCAGCCTGAATCTGAACGAACAAAGAGTATTACTGGACATCTCAATCATAAAGAGCTGCTGTTATTAATTTTTATTATTTTGGTCACTTTATCATTGTTCTGCCGTTCTCAGTCTTGTATGCTTTGTTCTTTTTTGTTTCGGTTAGGGTTTTTTGTTGTTGGTTTGCTTTGTTTTGCTAGGGAGCTCTGTAAAGCTACCATCTCATGAACATTTTGTTACTCACACTGCATTCTTGTACTGTACCAGAGTTGGTGACCACGTTCCATCGGTGGAAGAGATGAGTGAAAGCCGCTGGCTGTACTTCAGGTGACACTGTGCTTTCCTTGATACCAAATTAACCTCGTGCTTGGCTTTCTTCATCTTTATAACACTGAAGTGTGTATTCTTTTTTCATACTATGGCATGCTTCTACTGCTTCTCCTTTTATGCAGAATGCCATAGACGTTCCTCATTTCTGAGCCTGTTTTCTTCTTCTGAGCTGGGAGAGTGTGGATCACACATCATGTCTTTAGCCTAAAAAAAAAATCCACAAAACACCACATCTTTTAACTCTGTGTATGGGTAATTAATGAAGCAAAGCTAGCATCTCTGACCTGCGAAGAATTAAAAGCTGAAGAATCACAGATGCTACCCTGTGAACCTTTATAACACAGGTATTCTTAAGCATTCTTTGGAGTTACCTTATACAACTGCTCAGGTTGGAAGGGACTTCACAGAAGATTTAGCTCAGCCTTTTTGGGGGTGTATTTTAAAAACTGAGGGTTATCACATTGCTTCACAGGAAGTTGCTAGTAAGAGCGGAAACAAACCAGAATCCTAGTCTTTTCCAGTTGATGGTTTTTATAACTGATACATAGAAAGAGAATCAACAAGAAGATAAATCTTTAACTGGGATATATAGGGCATGTGTATTGCGTGTGTGTGTATATATATATGTATATATATACACACATCTACAGAATATTTATGCAAAGAAAACTTTTTGGGATGAGGCAATAGTACATTTCCTGTCATGATTGAGGGTTCCCAGCAAACTACTAAACTTGCCAGAGACTTAGTATGCTTGTTTGTACAGAGAATCTGAGAGCTATTATCTGTTGCAGTCATTCTTGGCTGCTGCCACAACGATGACATATGCCAGAACGCAATAAAGCCTGGTATTTTGGTAACTTGTCATCTATGTGTTGCAGGGCATTGGAAAGGTTTTTGAAGTGTCAGAAGAAATAGTTCCACCATTTAAAAATGACATAGTGGAGTACTTGATGTAGTTCTATCTCCATTTTTTTTTTTGCCATTCCTTTCCATACATTTAGTTTCCACTTTACATTCCACATATTCTGCACCTCGTGTGTCAATCGTTTTCTACCACACTGTTTAAATTACTGAATTATACATAGGTTTAGCACTAGAGGGATCAAATCTGAGTAACTGCTTTCCTATATGTGATGCTGGAGTTGTAGCATAAGTTGTAGAATAAGGACCAGAAGGAGGTTAGGAAATCAGCTAAGAGCAGAAACATAGTGCTTTAGTATTGGGCTCAATGGTAGTCCTTTTGCTGTTACAGAGCTCTCAGTCTGAAAAGTCTTTTATGACTTAAAAACCTAAGCAAACTTACTAGGGAGGAGTGAAGAGGTATGCTAAAATTGGAACAATTTTTACTGTAGCATACTCTTGTCTACAATTTCCAGTACACTTCCCAAGGCAGAAGTAAAGATGCCTAAAATTTATGCACTACAAACTGTCTGCCCTGAAGTATTAAGGTATCTGTCAAATACTGAATCAATGTCAGTGAGGGAAATAGGTGGGGTTTTCACCAGGTTTGGAATATTATGCATTGTTACAGCTGAAAGACTGTTCATATTCTTCATCTGACATCTGCTTTTTAAGAGTTATTTATTTGAATTGTTACTGTACACCCTAAAGGAATGCACACACAACTGCTGCAATGGGCTTTCAGAATGGGGGGAGTAGAAATGAAGATGCTGTCTGTAGTAAGAATTTTTCCTAAAATTTGAACCATTTTAATATAGAAAAGCTCTTTTTTCCTCTTCAGCATGACAATAAACCCGAACACCTGGCCTGAGATGTACTGTGACTTTTAATTGAGCAGAATGGTCATCCTATTTTGGTCCTCCCTTAAGCTCCCTTCGCCTGTCTAAGGGCAGTTAAAATCCCTCAAACAAATGTACGACCCTGTAAGTCAAGTAAAAGCTGGGACATTCTGAATTGTTTGGTTTTCTTGTGTACTGTGAAGTGAAAGGGTAGGCCAGTGAGTTAAAACTATTTCAGGAATGCAAGCTATGTTCGTCTTCTGGAACAAGCTTCTTGAACTCCCCATTCATTCATATCGCCAGCTGTGCAGCTAACATGAACGTGGTTGCTCGCGTAGTGCGTTGAACCTCCCCAGTGTATATCTGGAGTTTGAAAAAACACAAATATTTCTTTTATGTATATTTATAAAGGAATGAACTATCTTGTACATATTGCCATACTGAGTGGGTTTCCTGATGTTGCTTATCAGCTTTTGGTATGAGGTTTCACTAGGTAACTAGTTTGTCTGCAGAAGACCCTTCTTATCATGTCTTCATGGCTTAGTGGTAGCCTAACCTGTAACATTTAAGCCCTTGTAACCTTTCAGAGCTCTTTTGTGTGGCGTTTCATTTTGGCATGTGTAACAACCCAGTACCCAATCTCTGTCTCTCCAGTGTTCCCTTAAAAAGGTAAAGCTTTTAGTTATGAGGCTGGTCAGTGCCAATGAATTCCCAGGACAAATATGCCTAAAGGTTAAGATAACTCTGTATGTGAAAAAAAGGAAGTGATGATGAAAGAAAAGAAACTCGGGTTAAAATCCAGGCAAGAAGATTCTTTTATATGAGGCTGCTACAGGCTGTCTTAGAGTGGCTTTCTGGATTTTCCCTGAACTACTTTAAGTCATGTGCAGCCTTGGATTGGCTGTTGAGTTCATAAAGGATGACTTAAAACCTTAGTTCTGTGCCTATGTTCCATTATTCTAATAGAAAGTGGTGCCCTCGAATTTGTTTGAAGGTGTTCCCTTTTAGTTTAATCCATTCGATCTTCTGTGCCTGAAGGTAAATAGTGTCTGAATTACTGCTTGGTTTACTCAGATGCATGTCCCTGGGACACATAAATTAGCTGGTCTTACCAGCAAGGTTCTTTTGGTTTCTGGTGATCCTCAGGGATGTTGCGTAAACACTGTGGCTAGAAATAGCTGACACAAAGTCTAAGTAACAGAGAGATTACACTCACCCAGCTCAGTCCCTTCCAAGAGAGGGGAAATGAAGAAGCTGGCCATTTCAGATAATATGTTTTCTAATTGCCTATATTTTCCTACACTTGTTATGCAACGTGGTAGGACTGAAACACAACATATTTGAGAATGACAGTCTTACCCAATGTTTGAGGTTGGTGGTCTAGGTTCTACAAAACAGCACAGAAATCAAGGCATAAGCAGGATTTAAAACTAGACAAGAATAATCTTAAATAGCCCAAAACAGACCAGAAAAACCTGAGCATAATTACAAGGATTAAATACCCATCTTGGATAGAAGTGCTGTATGAAAGGATGTAATAGGGTGCTCACTAACTATACAAAAGCAAGTAGATGGCTTCTTATGAACATATTGTATCATCATGCACCATTTTATTAAACAGACCCTCTGTCACTCAGCTAGGAGTCTGGAGTAGACAAACCTCTTGTTAATCCACTGTGGCTGTGTTACGTTAGGTGACTGAAACTTGCAGCAAATTAGGATTATGAGTCTTTATAAAGTATTTTTTTTGTTTCATACAATGCATTAAAACTGTGTGTGTGGCTTCTTTTAGTTGTATATTTGAGCTATTCTCAGGCCTATCTGGCAGCTAAGTAATTTGCTGTGTCAAGTATTTAGGCTGGGCTCTTTCATAGTCTCTAGTTTCTTACTGCTGGACATGAGGAGTTTTTTCCACTGAAAAGGATGTGATCCAAAATTCATCTTTTAAGTCAGAAATAGTATTTGCCACCATCCTAAAAGAATTGGCAACAAAGGTAAGCTGTTCAAGTTGATGCCAAGATGAAGTTAAAGCTGTTATCTACAGGTAGCTGCTGCTTGAGTGAAAAAGCATCTTGTGTACAGCTATGTAACTGCAGGGGAATAATGGACAGCTCTTCTCAAACTATTCTTATAACCTCTCTGAATGCAGCTTTGCTGGGTGCTTAAAGTGCTTTTAAAATGTGTTCTGCCAAACTTCTAGCATTTCCAACCCTCAGTAACACCACTTGCTTTGTTTTCCTAATGTTTCTGTAGGGTTGGGGTTGACCCAGATCAGGATCCTCCACCTACTAATGACAGCTTTCAAGTCTTACAAGGAGTAAGTAATTGCATAACTTCTCTATTAGGCTGATCTTATTGTATATCTAAGATGATAAAGAACTGCAGAAGCTATGTGCATGGATAGAATCTTTCTCTCCTAGCTGGCAAGTCAGTAATGCATTTTACTTGATACTATTCATGCAATGCCCATCAAAAAACATTCTGTGGTTTTGGGTGTAATGCTACAGTGTTCAGATTTTTGTGTATATGTCTACGTATAAGGCATCCAAAACCTTCCAAAATCTGCTAATACAGTCTATTTGACAATGTGCTTTCCTCTTCCCCAGCCACCCAAGATGCTTGCTTTTAACATGCTACAGCATAAACAGTTCTTTCCAAGACTGACCCAGACATAATCCTCTTGGCTTCTGCCCAATGACTGATACCAGACTTTGGCCCTTGGACTTGCTTAGAATCAAAGATTAAGTTTGCTAATCCAGTATCAGCTCTTGCATACTGTACCACAAGATGGCTGGATCTTACCTGTACTACCTACTGCCTGTATGAGGCAAAAGGAACACTGGAAAATTGTCATTTATATTCAGCAAACTGTTGCTGTGAATCTTTAGTGCAGCTTTCTATGCATCAGTAACAACCCAGAAGCTGGCTCTTTTTTCCCTGCAATATGCTATTGGCAAACAAGACTATCAAGAGAATGTTGTTCATAGCAGAAATTTCAGTTTTCCTTGTCTAGAAACTGAGTGAATTCGCAGGAAGAGTGAAAGGTTTGGGAAAAAAGAGCCAACCCCAAACAACACAACAACCACCCAACATTTCCTCTGTCCAGATGTTTAGTTTACATGCTCCCAGAGTACTGTTTGACAGTAATTGTTCTGCAGCACAACTGGTTGCTTATACAGGAGCCTGCTAGAGGAAGTCGGATGACAGCAAAGATAGATTACTTTGGATGCAGAGGTTGCTTAGGGTGCAAGCATGTGAACTGGACTATGTAAACTTCAGGCTGTATGATGCTGGTGTTCAGGCTGGTCACAGATACATGGATGGAACATTTGCTGTATCTGGGATCAGCTTTCTTATCAGTTGTTTCTCCTGTCTTGCCCTATTTTTTTGTTTGGCCACAGGCTGCACAGATAAGAACTAGTTGCTCAGGAAACATCTCTTTCGTTGCAGAAACTGCATTGGGTATCTCCGTGTTCTTTGTAGAAGCCTGTGACCAGTACACAAAATAGATTCTGAAATAGTGGGTTTGGGTACTAAGAAGGGTGACCTTGGTTTTACATCTATCTGAAAGCAATCAGAAGGCCAGGCCTCAAAACACCTTTTATGGTGAAGACCACAGTTACTACGTCAATTCAAGGTTAGGAAGTGGTATTGTGGTAAGATGGCTTTGGCCAGTTCAGGCTGTAGCTTGTCAGTATTTGAGGAATTGTTTTACAGGAAACAGAACATGGGTATTCTGTTCTATTCAGTGTCTGGATGGAAATATCTTGTTACTTTTTCCCCATGTAAACATAAAGCACTTACCCATTTGTTTCCTTTTTTAGCTGTGCTTTGCATTCCTAATGGAGTCCATTAGTCAGTTCCCTTTGGATTCCTCTTTCTTTCACCAAGCCAAGATTAGCAGCATGTTGCAGTTAAAGAAAATATATCATTTGGGATGTGGAGGGAGTGAAACCGTACTAAAGTTAAACTCTTGGTGGATTGTGGATTTTTTGCAGATCAGAAGTACCCAGAGCAATCCTGTCTTGTTTTCAATAGCTTGGCAGAGGACTCATGCAAGGCATTCTCACTTCATCTGTTTTCCTGTTTAACTTTGGCTTTTGGCCAAAAAAAAAGGGGGGGGAGCAAACAAACCCACAACAAAAAAAAACAAACAAACAAAGCCCACCCCCCCCCCCAAAGCCAACATGCAAAAAGCAAAACAGTAACAAAAGTAAAACCAAATGCAGCTGCAGACCAGCTGGTGCAACGACTTGCAGCACATCAAATAAAAGGGGTTATATTTGACATTGTTGGCCCTTCTGAAATTGATCTAGCACTTAGGAAATTTTCATGACCTTCAACACTTGTGGTTTTATATGGATTCCCTGTGAAGCATGTTTCTCAAGTGTGATATCATCGTGTTAGAGTTTCAGGTATGGTAAATTCCCTTGCTCTTCCAAGGAAGTAATAGGCTTAAGGAAAGAACATCAAATAGACTTGGATTTAAGGAAGCCAACCAAGCAATGGTTAGGGATCAGTCTGGATTATTCCAGTTCATTTATCTGGGGAGGGAGACAGGGATGAGACATCAGTGAAGCTTATTTGTCAGTCTTGAACTTATTCCTATATTTGTCAGTCTTGGACTTATTCCTATATCCATTACTGCATTAACTGTACAATAAGCTTTTAGACTCGAGGGAACTTGGTGGTGTAGGGCTCGCTAAGATAACTGGAGGGCAATAAAGAGTGCTGTCTGCAGTCCAAGTACAGTATTGAAGTAATTTGGCCTTTTTGGACAATAATGTGAATGATTGGAATGTGTGATTTGGTTGTTATTATTTTTTTTTTCCTACACAATTGAATGTATTTTTATCTTATTTATAGGATGGCCCAGATTCTGAAAGAAGGAACAGGACAAAGCAGGAAAGTGCTTGGCTATTCAGGCTATGGTATAGCTTTGACCATAAGTATCCTTTTGAAAACACAGCTTACCTTCAAGGCATGAAATGCTCACTTTTTCCTTTTCCATGTACCCATATGTAGCCTTAAGCACTTGAGATAGTCAAGCTGATGAAAGATCAAGTATTTGACAGGTTCAAGGCACAGAACTGGAGCTTGAACTCACTGACTCAGAAGTTGGACCTTTCCTTTCTCTAATGTATGTATGTATGTATGGTCATACTTGCTGGAGGACAGAAGCCAGTCAGTTCTAGGACCTGACGTTCCATCCTAAACAGTAACACAGCCAATCAACCATTTCTGATTCATTCCATTAATCTGTTTTCGTCTTCACCGATGCTCCTAGCACTAACTAGTTTTCCAGTTCACTGTACATGTCTAAGCCCCAATTCATTGCTCTGAAGGGCCATCTGCTTTTGCGATGGGGAAACTCATTGCTGATACAGGAAGTTCTGAAACTAAAAATCTGCGTATGATCCAGCTTATTCCCTTTAGTATATCTGGAACTTCCTATGGGTGTTAGCAGAGTATCCTTGTGTGTGTATATAGTATTGTAAACCTTTCTGAAACCGGTAAATGCTTTCTGATGCTTCTGAACAATTTTTGTGTAGCTGTCCTGTCTTCCCTGCTTGTGGGTTTTATTACTCTACTTAGCATATTCTTAATCAGTACATCATATAGGTGCCCCTCCTTAACAGCTTACACTCAGTAGAACATAGCAAAGATAATCTTGTGGCTGTGGCAGGTCACTTATACCCAGAACTTCAAAAGAGTTTAAGTTATTGATTCCTAGTAATTTCTGGGGCAGTTAAATATATGTAAATATCTGTGACAGAGCCTTAATCTTGTTGCAGCTTGCATCTGAGAAGTAAGTCTTTTCACTGTGGTCTTTGTCATTGCTTGATAAGAGATTGCTGGCCTGTTGGAGGACAGTAGTTTCCTTCCGTGCCTTGTGCACCAAGATTTCCCACTCACGGAAACCCAGGTATAGTGTTGAAAGCATTTGGATCCTAATAGCGGTTGCCAGTTCAGGATAAAATGTGTTTGTGACTGATGCTTTCAGATGCAGTAGTATTGGACCAAAGCCCAGAAGGGAGTGTATGTGCTAGCTTAAATATCCATAAATGTTCGTAATTCCAGGTTAACCCTTTGAGTTGAGTGGTGGTGTCAAAGCGTATTGAGGTCAATTTTTGTTGACCCTGTCAAACAGGAAGTCAAAAAGAAGAGCTCTGTGGTAAAATCACAGAAGGATCTGGCTCTGACTGACTGCTGCTTTTTTGTCTTTTTAAGAAGGAAGCAGAGCTATCCTCTTCCCCTGCCATTACAAAAGGGATGTGCCCAATGAATAAAAGGAGTAGTTGGCAATGCTGACTTCCCTCAGCTGACACTAGCACAGCTGCAGCAAGGGGAGGGGGAAGTACAAGGTGAAAATTACAGCTTAATTAGCTGTTTCATGGAAACTTAAAGGGTGCTGATAGTGCATTTGCTTTTCAGTGGTGACTAGCACTCTTTAGGCAAGGTTTCTGTGAAGTTTGTGCCAAGGAAACTGGCATCCAGAGGCAGAACTGTCTTACTGTACCTTAGAGGTAAAAGCTTGCTCCTACTAGTGAAAAGAGGCATTTGGGTAAGCATCAGCTGGGTGGGCTTAAATTGCATGGAAGGGATGATCTTTAGAATTGCCACCTCTATACCCACAGGTAAAATATTTTTTGCTGATGCATTCCCTTGGTTTGTGGGTAGAAAAGCAGATTGCCTCAAAATTCACTCTCTGCAAGGGAAGTTAACATGAAAAAGATGTAAGTAAGTTGCACTTGGCAGTGCACTCCAACACTGGCTATTGCCTGCAGAGCTCTGTCCAGATGGATAACTGGGAACTTCATTCCTGTGGAACACAGAGTTCATTTATTGTCATGGGTTATTCCCGGCATTCACCCACAATTGTTAAACAGGAAGAAAACTGCAACTTTGATGAAGTACCAGATGTCTTCTACTGGTTTGTTTTATTATGACCAAGTTGCTGCATGCCGGTCTGCCGCAAGGCAGTGTGGAGGCTGGTAGGTTAGTGTAAGGGCAAAAAGCTTATTTCTTTCCAGGACTGGGTGTAGCCACACTGTTACTGGAGGAGGAAAGGAGGACACATAACCCTGCAGCAGCATAATCATGCTGTTATATGCTCAAGTAAACATGCTATGCTAGGCTCTGCTAAAAGGAAGGGATATATCTCTGTAAAAAGAGCTGCCTTTTAAACTCCTCCTTTCCCCTAAGCAGCTTCATCTGTGAGAGGATCAGGGAAGCTGTTGTATTCACAAGTGGACTTGATTCTTAGAACTCCAAGCCCAGAGAGAAAGAAATGACCTGCAATATATATTTACATTTAAAATAATCAGAACAACTGAAAAAATAACAAAGAAACCCCACACCAACCCAAACCCCTGTGGTCCTGATTTCAAACAACGTTTGGAAGTATTAGCGCTCTCCTCCTGAGCTCTGTTCTTGTGCCAGTGAAGACCAGCAGGGACACCTTTTTTGACTCCAGAGCATTTCCCCAGGCAGATTGTCCATCTGGAGTACTAGTGTGAGCACATGAGGATTTACCTGGAGGCAGACGTGTGAAAAGAGGTGTAAAGACACCTTCCTTTCCCTCCCTGCTGCCCCCTCAATGTAATCTAGGTAGCATTGCTGCTTTTCTTCTACCCTGTGTTATGTGATTCTTTCCATGGAGTTTTCCCTTTTTAGGGCTCTGCGTGGTATGAATATGTGCACCACAGAGATATCTTTGAGCCTTACCAGAGTAAGATCTCTGGTTGCATCTCTGTGGTTTGGTGACCAGCTAGTAGCTCAAGTGGCTGCATTGCTTTGATAGTATTTCTTTATTTCCCTGTGTTGCGCCACACATGTGTGTCACCTTGTTACCTCTAGTTCACCTCAACACCATGCTCCCATCTTCACAGCAGAAATACCTTTGGACCTATTAGCACTAAAGCACTTGTACCTCTGCTTGCTCCTTTTGGCTCCAGAGATCCAAAAAGCTGAACCCTTGCAACTGCTTGAAACTTGTAAGAAGGGAGTTGGGTCGTTTTCCTTGCAGGGAATGTAAGAGTAAGGAAACTGCCTTTGAAAGTATAAAGGAAAATATGAAGGGAAGTATAAAGGAAAGTATAAAGGAAAATGTTTCTTGAGGTCCCCTCATTTGTTTCTTGAGGTCCCTTCATTTATTTGTCTACAAACGCGGATTTTTTTCAATGGGTGTTTTACATGCAATTGTTGAACTGCACATAGATCAAAGGCAGAACCACACTGATGTACAATTGTCTTTTTATTTTCAATAGTGGTTTTCGAGCACTGATGTGTTTTCCTTAACTACTTCAGTTATTTAAAGCCAATTCTCACTCACAGTGGCCCGCCATTAACCACAACTCTACCCAGCTGGTGTGGTCTGGTCGCCCGATGTCTGACGAGTCCCCAGGTTTATGATGTAAGTAGACCAACTCAGTACTTCTGGGTTTTGTTTTTTTTTTTGTTTAACTTCAGGAAAGCATTTTTTAATTACTATTATTTTAGGCAAAAGGTTGGTGAGAAAGACACTCTACAAGAAAGTACTGGTTTGTCCTAGGCAGATAAGGTTTAAGATACTCTACCTTGAGGCAGCAGCTTCCATTCGTAAAAATAAGAGATGATCTTTATTGTTCAAATACTACCTTAAAAAAAAAACAGAAGACATTAAAGTATATTGGAAAATCACAAGCCTAGTCAATAAACCAGTTCTGTGAATCACTGCAAAATATTCAGTCCCTTCTCAACACTTTTGGATAAGATTCTCTTCCTGTTACTGCTGAGGTTGCATTGAGGTCTCCTTCAGAGAAGACAGGCCCATTACCCGTGCCAGAAAAAAATCTGGTGGAGCTTCCTTTCATTGTTTCCTCTGTGAAATTTGAAACTGTGTTTCAGAAACCTTTCATCAGTTACTTATCGCAGTGTAGCAGGCCACTATACTGTCTTTACAGCCATGTCTTGTAATAATTGATGCTTCATTCTCCTATTACTCTTGCAGGATCCTGATACATGCCATTCCTATCTCTGCAGGGCTTCTGAAATGTACAACTCTGTATAAGCTGCCTATAAATAAAACCATTGCACTATGTGCAATCACTCAAATTTACAGGTTCTTTGGAATGGTAACATCTCTGCCATGTTCAAGTAGTCTTGGACCAGTTTTCTATTCATCTTTTCCTAGAGAGTTATGAATTCCAATTCCAAATTTGAAATACTGCCCCTGCTCATCTTTCTGGTGTCATTAGCATCTTGCTTTCAGCTGATAGTAAAATTTCAAAGTGTGAAATACCTGCTGCCTATTTGGAGCTATTGGTAATGCAAGAAATTGGCCTTGTTCCCATCTTTGCAGTGCCACTAAAGATCTTGCAACAGATCTAGGTTGGAATGCATCCATCAGACCAATTAGCCTACTTGTGTGTTGCCCGTGTGTCTATCTCTGATCTTATAAGATTAGTTATCTAGTAACCAGAATAAACATAAACATGCATGCTTTGGCTTCATTTTCTTTAACGTTTGGGCTTCCCCCCCCCCCCCCCATCTTTACTGCTGATTCTAAGCTACCACTGTATGTGTAAACTTATTCTTTAATTGGATTTGTTCTGACACACACAACGCATGCACAGTTGGGATGCTAAATGCATCATTAAAAATGCTTATAAGGCTGCGTGCTTTGTATAAGGTGTATGAATGACGTGGAACTTTGCACTGTCTTCTTGTTCCTATTTCATTGCATTGCTGCTTTAGTCTTAGGGAAGAATATAATTCTGAGATTTTTATTTCTATTTTCTTCTCAAGATTTGCAGACTTTGTAGTTGCTTTATTGCTTTTCATTACTCTGCAGGCCAGGATTTGCTGTAGCACTTGCCTATACCATTTTATTACCAGCTAAAAAGCTGTGGAATCTTTCTGCCTTCCCATTAGGTGCAGGTAAAGCAACTGAGAGTGCCATATCTTTGAGGGGACAAAAGCTGCTTGGCATAGTTGTGCTTTTGTGAAGTGTTTCAAAGAAAATTCAATGGTACATCTGAGAGAATTGAAGACTTGGAATTAAACAAGCAAAAAAGTCTTTAAATACTCAAGAGAACTTAAAATATGTGGAAAATGTGTTTCAAAAAGAAGTAATAAATTCTAGATCTCACTCAGGTGCATGTCTGAGCAGTTACGACATCTGTGTAGAGAAGAATGCATGCACGTATGTGGCTATACAGACCGTATACTTGTGTATTGTTTTCAACATTCGTTCCCTCCCTGGCTTTATTACAACCTTACTTAGAATTCATTTTCACTTCCATGACAGGGAGTACATCTTTTTAATAAGATGTCAAAGGGTGGGTTATCTTGTTACATAATCCATCTACAACCTATTCCTAAGTAAGAGACCGTGTCCTCTAAGCCTGAATTTGCATGGCATACATGTAAGTTTGAGTCAGCATGCAGTGGGTGAGGTACAGTGGATTTGTTCCAAAGCTGCAGTTACTATTCCTTGCTGATGTTCTCCTACTGCTTTAAGACTGTGTCGCTAGGCTCACTGTCAAATGCTTCCCACCCAAACAGAATCCAAGTTGGAATTTAAAAGCATGAAAAGTTGCTGTAGTTAGTGTTTAAAATTGTAATTTTTCAAAAACTCACTCCTATATTTCTCTCCTGGTGCTATCTTCAGTGTATGTCCCTGCCCATGACAGAGGGTGGAACTAGGTGGTGTTCTTTAAAGTCCTTTCCAAACCAAACCACTCTATAGTTCTCTGTCCATATGGCAGGGCTTTCCAATTCATCCCAAAATGATGAAAGTTACTTTTTTTCTGTCCTATTGACATGTCCTTTAAAACTTTAGTAATTCTATTTCATCACCTGTTTATCCCATTTGGAAGAACCATCTGTGTTTTCATCTCCTCTTCCTGATGATTAAGAATTCCTGGGGGTTATTTTGTTTGTTCAGGGGCGTATTTTTTTTGTCCTATGCACTCTCCCACCCATTCTTTAAGTCTGTTTCTTGCACCATACAAAGTGTGACAGCTTGGTATGAAAGTAGAGGGAATTCAATTATTTTTCTAAATGTGCAAACCCAGTAAAGGAACTTCATTTGTACTTTGTATAAGTCTTGGAGGAGGTAATTCTCAGAACTGGTAAGAAAAAGCTTCACCTGTGCCTCCCCCCTTCCCTTTCTTGGTAGCTCTAGCTTCACAGAAAAAAGTTATTTAGTTTCCTTGATGAATTTGAAGTCAGCTGAGAAATAGAGAAACTCTCAACAGAGAGATTGAAGTTGTGATGTACTTTGCATGCCTGCTACATGACACTTTTGTTTTGGAAGCAGAAGATAAGTAACTTCTGATGCAAGTTTTGTCATCCACGTCGCCTATGTTGTATTCAGCACCAGCAGTGTCCGTGATGATTACCAGCACTTTGTGTGTGTGGTGTACTTGGCAATGCAAAAAGAAGCGCATGCACTGGGAGGCAATAAAGACCGGCTTTGTAAGCAGTAACTCTAAGCTTTAGCTGTTTGAATGTCTCCAGCATGCTTTCTTAAGAGCATGGGCAGATTTCACCACAAATAGGACAGAGTTCTCTGAGGGCCCTCAGGGTTATGGTCAGCACATCAAAGCAAAATTCAATTTTTTGTATGGTTTTGGATTTAGCTACCCAGCCGTTCTAGTTTGTTAGTTTTAAGTAGTGAAATTCAGACCTATGTTTTTTGAGTGAATTGAAGCTGTTCCTATAGAACTGTAGGGACTGCAGAGGCCAGTTTAGGGTTATTCTTGGAAGAATTTCAAGTCTCTAGGGATCTACTTGGATACATTTCCTGCTTTTCTTGAATTGTTCATGCTGCATGAAGCACAGTAGGTTTATTCACCCATCCTCTTTGCTTGCAAACATAGCAAATCTGTATGCTACATGGGATTGTTCATGGATGTTCTCTGGGGAAACACATGAAAGAAATTGCCTGCTACCTGCAGTGCTTTTCAGAAATTAAATAATAAGTGGACTCTGGCTCATAGAAGGCAAGTTTGTTCAGTACACTGAAAGAAAGTTCAGTGTTTTCTCTGGAACTGATCATGTTTACATACATGCAAGCACAGCCTGGGACAAACCAGCAAAGACTGAGTTAGGACTTACCGTGTAGTATAAAGCCTGTGGCCCACTCAGTACTTGACTTTTCAGCCTTTTGGAGAAGCTCAAGTGTAGTGTCTGTTCTTACCAGTTGCTTATCTGACAGGTAGCTGTAAGGATTCCCTGTTAAATAGTATTGAGGAGACAGAAGATGCTTTGGGACCTTGCTGCAGACGCTGCACATGTGGCCCTGGTATTGCAAAACCTCCCGGTGTGCCATTAGCCCTGCCTTCTCCTCCTTGGTGCTTCTTCAAGGGCAAACACCATGAAAGGCAACTTGTGATAGAGCTGCTGAGTTTCTTTGACTTCTTAAAACATAGCCAGTCAGCTGTCACAAACCATTCTAACTAATCTTTCTGCTTTTCATCTTTGTCTCTTCTTCAAAAACAGGATGTATAGGGACACCAGATTTTCTTAAATAGTTGATTTTGTGTACCTTTTCTAATCATCCCGGTCTTGTCCCTCAGGCTTACACTTTTTTTTTTCAGAGGAAACCTTGTAAAGGTTAATTCTGCCAACTAGAGTTGAACTCTTTAATTTCTGCCTGCCTTTCTTAAAACAGTGACAGTAGTCCACTGTTTTCTTTGCAGTCAAAGAAACCAAGTGTCCAGAACTGTTTGCTCTTTGAGAACTGTATTCTCTATCACAGTAACCCTGTCTCTAATAGGTGAGACAAATTTGGATGCCACAAAGGTTGTGAGGAGTTAGCATTCATTTTAAGTAGGGCTTGTCTTGCACCTGACACTGAAGTGCGCTATTTCTGTCACTGGTTTTGATAATCTCTTTACACCTCTTCCAGTCCTCATTAGTTAAACAGTCTGCATCATCCAGAGGATTCTGCTGCCTTATTTTGGCCAATTATCATTCTGAAATAATGACAGGAAGCTTTCCTAGGTAGCTTTATTGAACCATATTTTTCATTGTGGACGGGTTAATCAGCATTTTCAATCTCAAGTGCCTCCTGTTCTGCAGTGCAGGTAGGGCTTTCTGGTCAGGCTGATCACAGGCTTCCTACCTCGTGTAGCCCGTGTCCTCCTTCCTTTGCCAAAGTGGAAGTGGATGATGTACTTTGAGAACAAAACCTGATCAGTGTCCAGCCTACCAAGGAGAACAGCAATTCACACTTATTTCATTCTTGCTAAGCAGTATGGAGCTGTTCACATGAGGAAATAATTGTTTTCAGATGCAGGAAAGCAAATTGATAGCTGATAGAATTTTCTTCAAATATGAGGAAGCCCCATTTTTCTCACTAATTCTGCTGGTTTACCTTTCACCACTACCATGTTAAACAAGAGTGAAACATAGTACAGGTGCTTGCTGTTGTAGAGAAATTACTACTCCAGCAATTTCTAGTCTCTGATCATGTATTTCATCCTGTCTCTGCCAAAATAGATTCACAGGGTTTTGTGAGCCACTTTCTTAACTGATTTTGAAAAGAAAACATGAGAACTAGTTACAAAACTAAGAAGCAATCACTTTCTTATACCAGTGTTTCTACTTGTATAGCTCAGGTGTGTTCCTAAGGACTAGGTCAAATAATTCTCTATTTAGTACCAGGTAAGATGAAGGCGATAGTTTTATAAGAGTCGATCTATAACAAAAATTTGTCCAGGAAAACTTGAATATAAAGAATTTGGGCTTAATGAGTTCTTACTAGTTTACACAAGTCTTTTGCTAATTAGCCAAATTCATTAGTAACAGATGCAACTCTGAATCTGGAGTGACTTAATTATGTGTAGTCTCCAGTCTTTTTCCTGTACTGCCTTCTAAATTGTCCAGCAAAAAACAGAGTATATTGCTCATCTTTCCTGTACTTCTGGTAAACTTCCAGTGCTATTAAATCCCCAGTTACCTGTTTTATAATCTAGTTCTTGGATTCAGCTCCCCCTCATTGCTCCACAACAGCAGTAGTTATATAGGGAGCAGTAAGCTGATTTACAAACACCAGGATCAAAGCTATTTTTAACATTTCTCAAAGTGGATCTGCACAGCTTACTGCCGCTTCTGTGTTAACACATAGGTGAGCTCTTCTGTTCAGTTACCTTCTTGACAAATACTAGATTTGTGCTGTGCAAAGGTTTTTCTTTATTTTTTTTCTTTTTCCCCCAGAATCAAGAACAGCTTAGAGAAGAGGATTCTGATTTTATTCTGAATGATGGTGACCTTACTGTGACATATGGTGATACAACAATAACTGCAAACGGTTCTTCTGGCCCCCATACAGCTACCACTAGCCTTGATGACAGGAGAACAAAAAGCAGTTCAGAGGAAGCACTGGAACGTGATGTGGGAGCAGCAGATCATGAAGTTACAAGCAGGGGTACCCGGCTAGTATTTCCTCTGGAAGACAATGCATGATTACTGACTCAGTAAAAATAACTCTTGCTCTGTGGATGGATCAAGGAAGACTGCAGGCCACTGTGTTACTTGAGGTGGGGATGTTTAAACATGTCAACACACGTAAGTGGTTTTACTAGGGTCTGAAGATGTCACCTATTTTTTACTCAAGATGCTGACGGTGGGATTTTCTAAATGTCTGAAAAAGGACGAATGAGAAAACTGGTCATTCTCTTTTCAACCACATATTGAATCCATGTAAAATTAGCATGCTGCAATTGTCTTGTTCAGCTGCAGCAGCTCTCTCTGAAGAGAGGTACATGAAGACATTGTCACAGAACTGAGCTTGTCTTGGCTTAGCTTGAGAATGTGGAAGAAGAAATATAAACCTGGTAATTATGCAGTGAAAAAAGATGTGTGTGTATCTGAGTGTGGAGAGATCCACTGTTAACTTCTCTCACTGAGGAAACTATGGAGTAAGACAGGACAGTATACATTAGGACTACAAGTGCATGAATGCCAGACTGTGTGGGGAATCTGTTACTGCAAGCTGTACTTAATGCATTTCAGGGAAAAGAAGATTTCTTAACTGGCCAGGTGTTTAAATAGGAAGGCAACGAGAGCTACTTGTCCCTTTAGCTTTAGGCGACTTGACTATTACTATTAGCCGAACTTCTAGTGCCTCAAAAAAAAAACATCCAGCTTCCTGTGGTCTAAGATGTACCTGAACTGGTACAAGCCTGGAGCCAGGCTTTCTTGAGTAGAAGTAATGAGGTAATACCTTCTCTCCCTTAAAGCTCTTAAAATCAGGTGAAAATAGTTGGAAACATATCCTGGGCTGGGGAAAACAGCAAATGAAGGGGCGGGGGGGGAATGAGAGAGAAAGACAGTATTGAACTTGCATGGAACCATGAGGTTTCATTGCTCAGAAGAATCCATGGACTCTGCTTACAGTTCTTGTGTGTGATAAACAGCAAACACCTAATTAAATGGACAAGCAAATACCACTGGCTTTACCATTTGTGACTGTCCTAAAAGAAAGATGTTTACTCTTGTTCTCTTTCGCAGAGTAGATGTAAAACTTCTGTGGGGCATTGCACAACAACATATAAGCTATGAAAGTGATGAACTGTACTATCTTAAATGTGAAAAGGGAAAAATCTTTGCCTAGTATTTAGCCCACTTACATGTAGGCTAGCTTTAACTTATGGCTAAATGCTTTTTAATTTCCAAATGAGGAGATATCATTGTCTTTGCCAGTAGCTGAAAATTCATGCTTTGAAGAGCAGTTCAGCTGTTTAAAGCATGCTAAAATGTGATTTCATTCTCGTGTGTCAAAAGGTTTATTTTTTTAAAGAGTTCTGTTGCCCACTAACGTGATGTAGTATCAGTTTATCTAAAAAGTGTGGTTTTCTTGCTGGCATTTCAGTTGTTCCTCCCAAAACTGTGTGTGAATAAGTACCCGCTGTTTTTACTTAACTATTAAACTTAATGGGCTAACTTCGGTACGAGAACTTACTGCTGCAGAGAAACTTTGCAGTCATCTTTTCTAGTCTGCTTTCTTTCAGCTGTGTTCTCTGAGTGACCTACCTCCTTGTCTGTCCTTCCAAGGTAAATTTGTAAAGGGCATTGATCTGTAGTGACTGTCTGATATGATTAAGAGAGACAAGGAAACCAGAAGTCTTCGTGGAAAAACTGGAAGACCAATGCAGTCATCTATGTTCTTAAATGATGAAGAGTAACAAACCCTGATTGAAGACCTCCAATCAGAACAACTCCTTTTCTGTTCTCCTCTGCTTTCAAGGAAGACAAAGCAGATAGCAATGATCCATGGTATTTGTACTGTTTACATGGCTTGTTTTCTCTTTTTTTGTTTTAAGTGCTCTGGCAGTAGAAAAGGTAGTTTCCTACTAAATTACAGAAACCATTACATTTATTTTGGACAACACTTTGGGACCCATGCTGTCAGTACTGAGTGGAAACTTGAGATTTCTACAACAATTAGTGTTATTAGCGGTCATATGAACCAAATTTTGGGTTGAGATAATGAAACGTACTCAAAATAAATGGGTTTAATACAGTGAGGCAAATCTTTACATGCAGCTTGAAGCTGAAGCTTTCCAAAACACTTCAGCTGGAAAGAGAATCTTATGCAGAGAGAGATCTGTTCTTTAGAGGAAAGATCAGGTACTGTTTCTGGAAGTACAAGCTATGTTTCTTAGCTTGCTCAGGAAGATGGAATCTCTTGAAAGTATCAATAAACCATCCCATTGCAGGTGCTTCTTTGTCTGTGTTTTTAATTCTCACAGGAAAAATATAGAATTGAATGAAGTTCACCAGTAAGCCCAAAATGTGGTTGTGAAAGAGCAGCCAAAATACAGATGATTGGTGAGAGGTGAGGAATATCATAGTCTAACTTCACATTCAAAAACTACTTAAAAAGCTTATCTAATACAGTAAGGAGAGGCCCATATCAATAAGCTTCATTTTTGTTCCTATATTGGAAGAAATAATTTTATTCCTTGATTTTTACCTATTTTCATCTTAAGTCTTTCCAAAATTGTATTTCACTGCTGACAAAAGGTAAGCTAAAACATGTAGCCTCTTCTTACACCAGTCCCTGTACCAAATTCACACGGGACTCCTTTACTGAAAAGTGGGGGGGGGGGGGGGGGGGGGAAGAAAACCAACAAAAAAAAGCCCTCCTTGTCCTGAAATACTGTGTATTTCACCAACTCTCCAACAGATCCCTTTTTCTCATGTGTATCCTTTTGAAAGAATAGTTTAATACTTTCAATTCCTTTTCCAGAGGGACCTCGACACGCTTGTGAGCTGGGCTGATGCCAGCCTTATGAAGTTTAACCATGCCAAGTGCAAGGTCCTGCACCTGGATCAGAGCAATCCCAGGCACAGCTACAGGTTGGGCAGGGAAGGGATTCAAAGCAGCCCTGCAGAGAAGGACTTTGGGGTGTTGGTTGATGAGAAAATGAACATGAGCTGGCTTCAGTGTGTGCTTGCAGCCCAGAAAGCCAACCGTATCCTGGGCTGCATCAAAAGGAGCATAACCAGTGGGTCCAAGGAGGTGATCCTGCCCCTCTACTCTGCTCTTGTGAGACCTCACGTGGAGCATTGTGTGCAGTTCTGGAGTCCTCAACATAAAAAGGACATGGAGCTGTTGGAGCAAGTCCAGAGAAGGGCCACGAGGATGATCAGGGGACTGGAGCACCTCCCGTATGAAGACAGGCTGAGAAAGTTGGGGCTGTTCAGCCTGGAGAAGAGAAGGCTGCATGGAGACCTCATAGCAGCCTTCCAGTATCTGAAGGGGGCCTACAAGGATGCTGGGGAGGGACTATTCATCAGGGACTGTAGTGATAGGGTAAGGGGTAATGGGTTAAAACTTAAACAGATGAAGTTTAGATTGGATATAAAGAAGAAGTTCTTTAAGGGTGGTGAGGCACTGGAATGAGTTGCCCAGGGAAGTTGTGAATGCTCCATCCCTGGTGGTGTTCAAGGCCAGGTTGGACAAGGCCTTGGGTGATATGGTTTAGTGTGAGGTGTCCCTGCCCATGGCAGGGGGGGTGGAACTAGATGATCTTAAGGTCCTTTCCAACCTTAACTGTTCTATCATTCTATGATTCAGTAAGATCCTGAGCTTGCAAGAACTTGACTGAATCATACCAGCAAATGTGTATTTTCTTATAAAACTTGTGAGATTTTGAACAGAAAGTACAGCTTAAGATTGTACTGAACAGCAATCAATACGTATCAGTATCTTCTTCAAACTGAAATAGAAAACCTACAAGATGATGGTCTTCACTGGAAACAGTATTCGTATACCAGCAGAGGATGTTGCAGCTTACGTGGCTGCCCTTGCACTTGGGGCTGAGTAATTTACAGTTTTTTGCTTGATGCATCATCAGCTCACTGCTGAAAATCTTCATTGAATTTGCCAAGGAATCTGGAGAAGGGAAAAATGAAGCCGCTAATCTTATTTCAGTGCTTCATAGAAGCTCATGCTGGCAGTTAGGCATGGCTGTTGTGCAGTTGCTTGAATTCCCATTGCTGTGGCTTTTAACACAAGTAAGTCCATAAGCACTACACCAACATCGTATTTAAACAGACTAAAAAGTTTTCTAAACCTTTCTGTATATTCCTCTGTAATGCTGGGGACAGGGGATGGCAGGGTTTGGGGTTTCATTTACAGAATTTGGAGGAACACAACAAATACCTGAAAAACTGGCATTTATGTGCTTCCCTTGTAGTTAATTGGGGGTGCCTGTGCCTGAGAAGTGATGATGTTTTGAGCCATTTGCACATGTTTTGTGCAAAAGACCAAATTCTCTTCACTTCCCTGGGTCTAGAGGCAGTTTTATCAGTTAAAGCTGAGTAGCTGTGAGCAGATCCTGTGACTTCTAAGAGCAGCCTCACTCAAACACAGGCACAACACAGGGTGCTTTTTTGTGAGAGGTGTTCAAAGTGCTGCTTACACTGGCTTCAGCATAGCTGATACTCTGATCTCAAGTTGAAAGGAGGAATGATAGGACAAGTGTGGTTTCACTGTACGTTACCTGTCTGCTATGCAGAGGAAGGGTACAGTGTAACCTACCTTTTCTGATAAAGACTGAACAAGGGTGAAGTATCACATACTTGGTACTTGACCAAGTCTAGCACTGTTCCAAGGATGAATTTTTTTGGGGCTATGAAAGGAATTTGATTTTTATTTTATTTCTTTTTTAACTGAAGGAATTGCCTTTGGGGAAAGGAATGCAGAAATTTTAACTGGAGGAGAAAACAGAAATCTAAGCTTTTTTGGCTGAACTTCCAAAGAGATGATCTGAAGCAAGTACGTAGCAAAGGTTAAAATTATGTCTACTACTAAATGACAGCTGCTATGTTTTATTCCTAGGGGAAGGGAAAGAGCTCATAGTAGGAAGTCTAGCAACCTTTACTGTAAGCTGCTCATGCTATCTATTACTAGGAGGGCCTGATCCTGTGATTTTTTCGTTATAATCTGTGAAACAATTTGTAGATGGGCATGGAAAACATGGTCCTTCTTGTATAGCTTCGGTTTAACTTGAACTGCAGTCTCTCTTCAGACAGCATTGGTCAGAGGAGCTTCTTTGCATCTAATTCTGAGCAGTAAAACCCTAGAAACTAATGTGCTTCACATGCCTTTCAAAGAAAGGTTCAGTGTTTCTTTTAATTCTGTTTGAAGTCACTCACAGGAATAACATGCTTGACCTCAGCCTTGGCAGGCATGGTCTCTGCTTTTGCACAAGTGTGGGAATGGAATTCTGGTACTCAGAAGCCTCAACTTCATGTGCTTTCCTTTAAGATGCAGGGGGAGGACCGCTTCTGGGGAGGAACCAGAGAACTTACAGATGCATCAGCAGGGAGTACTCCTTTCCAAAACACTGAACTTGTGACCTGCTGAAGCTTAGAGGCAAGGGAAGATAAACTATGACTAGGAGACACAGGCCATCCAGCAGGAAGTCAGGCAGTAAATGCCCCAAGCTGCCTAGGTGCCGTCTCCATCATAATCAGTCACAGAAAGCAGGACAGAGCTGCTGCGTAGCTTGAAAACACATTCTTAAGAGAAAAAAAACATGTAGAATAATTTCAGATGTTCCTATATTGACAAATGCTCTTTGTGAGAAGCAGCCCATGCAGACCTTATTTGTAGTGCAAGAGATTATCGCCTCCCATGTTTGAGAGAGTTTAACACTGTGCCCTGAGAAACCACTGATACTTCTTGGCCTGGGATTTTTGGGAGTGCCCTTCTGAAAATGTGACTTCCAGTAGAAATAAGCTGGCCAATTGAAAGAGAAGGAAAGTGTGGAGAAAACAGTGAATTACAAAGCCAGGAAATGGCTTAAACAGGCAGCTTTACTGTGGGAACAGCACTGTAAACAATTGCTGCTCTTAATTTTACAGTCCTAAATGCTGAGTTTTGTATGCTTCTGCCCACCTGATCCCAAGCCAAAGCCAATGGAATAATGCAGAAGTAACTGAACTACCCCATCCTAATTGGTCACAAAATCAGAGGCTTGCACATGGAAGCACTGGCTTTCTTCTACTCCAGAGCAAGGAAAGGAACTTTGACTGTTTTTCTCTGAAAGTAATCTCACATCACTGCTGTGTTTTCTTGAGTCTAAAAAGCTGTTATTCGTTTTGAAAGCAGTTCTGGGGTAATTATTCTGGTAAATAGGCAGGTGCCTTACAAAACATGTGCACATACAAACAGGTTGTAAATGCTTGGCCAATCATATTGGAACCTGTGTGGCAGACTCAAGTGAAATGTCATATATTCATTTGATACCTGCAATTCGTACAAGCTTTTGCTACGAAAATAAAACAGCAATGAGAAAGTGATTAGATACTAGAATCAGGTCAGATTTTTGGGTAATAAAATTACCTATCTGCTTTGGATGCTTTACCCACTATGTCTTTATCCTATGCTACTTTCTTGATCATAATCCATTCCATTTTTGCACTATCCCACATGGACTTGCAGACCTCCAAAACACCCTTGGGTCTGAAGCTTTATCTGGGGACTGAAGCTTAATGGGGAGAGACAGCTTATAATAACTTATGCTGGAATAAAGGACTTCCGGTTGCCTGCACTGTCTACATCAGGGAATGTGGTAGTGTATAGAAAGGTGTCTGCAGGGAGACAGAGAAACCCTGGCTTTTTGAATTCCTGCTTATACTGGTGTGGATAAAGCCAGTGCCCCTCCAGGTTCACATACAATAATACACAGAGAGAAAGGATTTATACTGGTGAATGTAAATGAGCAGCAATCTTTGTCCTGGGGAAATTAAAGAAGTTTGGGTTAGTTCTAGCTTTTATTAACATAAAGCTTTTCATTTAATTTTCCGATGCCCATAGTTTCCTGCAGTTTTTTAACTTTTAGGAGTTTGAAAGCAACCCATATGAACACACTTGATGCATATTTATAAAGGTGGGGGCAGAAGAGTTGCACTTCACATTTGTGCCAAAGCACAATGTCAAAGCCATGCTCATTGCTGGCTTATGTAAATGTGCTTAATAAGATGGCAGAATTTGAAATACTGCAATTAAAGGTCACTTTTCCCACTTTTATTTGGAAAAAAACCCCACCAGATTTGCATTCCCTCAGAGAAAGTGAATGCTCAACTTAAAAGGGTTTTGCTGTTATGTTAAAATACTTTAACTTCAGGCTATGAGAAATAGATTGGATTTATAACTAGCAAAGTCTCTGAAGCTGATATTTCAGAGGCAGTGGGAAGTAGGTC